CCGGGTAAAACTACGTGGCCGGGAGTTCGAGCCATTCCCTGTACACCTTGGGGTGCGACAGGGATGTCCTCTGGCTCCCACATTATTTAACATCTATTTTGATCACGTAGTTTGTGAAGCCTTCAATAGCTGTACCGGGGGAATCTCCATATGGTACAGATATAATGGGAGGCTGATCGATGCCCGGGTGCGGTCAAGGGATGGCTCCCTATTGCTCAACCACGTTATGTATGCCGATGATTTGGTAATAGCTGCTCATTCAGAGGAGGAGTTGGAGACGCTGCTGCTGAGACTGGAGCGTGCCACTAACAGATGGGGCCTTACCATCAGCCCCACCAAAACTAAGCACCTGCCTGGGTATTTTGTACCATCGGACACTCCACCCCCACAACTCCCAATTGGTGATGGGGCATTTGTGGAGAGAGTGGAGAGTTTCCCATACCTGGGCAGTGTGCTTATGACCGGCTCCAGTTTGGCGGCAGAGGTCTCACTCCGAATCAGTCGGGCGGCAATATCTTTTCATCGGTTGCGTAACGCTGTGTGGAAGCTACCTGGTTTGTCGTTCCGCACTAAGCTTCAGGTCTTCTCGGCCACGGTCATTCCCTCCCTTCTCTACGCTTGCGAAACGTGGACCCCCCTAATGGAACATCTTCGCCGGTTAGAAACATTAGGCTAGCCTACCTATGATCCATTCTGGGTTCAACCAGACTGGATTGTGTGAAGAGCTCACAAATCCTTGAAAGATCTGGGCAAGGTCCCATTGGTGAGCTCCTCCGGCGGGCAAGGCTGCGATGGCTGGGTCATGTAGCCCGCATGCCCAGCCACCGCATGCCGAAACAGCTTTTGTTCGGCCGGATCGAGGGGGCTAAACGTCAATGACTTGGGCAATGACCTGGATCATTCCAGGGTAAATCTTTTTGCAAATGACACGATACTGATTACTGTTGGCCACTCTCCAGATGACGTGATTGCTAAGCTCCAGGGTGATTTCAACAAACTACAACATCAGCTAGTTTCTCTTAAACTAGTCCTGAATACCTCCAAAACCAAGGTGCTATGCTTCTCACCGGGACTAAAGCAGGAAGTTATTTTTCCCCAATTACATTCCTTGAATAATTATCAAATAGGGCAAGTCAATATCTATAAGTATCTTGGGGTCATCCTGGATTCAAAACTTAATTTTGAAGATCACATTGATTATATTGGTAAAAAGACAAAAATTGGTTTTCTGTATCGACACAAGCGCTGCTTCCCCCCAATGTTCCGTTTTGAATTGATAAAAGCTACCATACTGCCTCTACTTGACTACTGTGACATCGTGTATAAATCAGCCCCAAGTACTGTACTGAAGAAGCTTGATTCCATCTATCACTCGGCCTTAAGATTTGCATTGAACTGCCCATATAGGACTCCACACTGTGATCTCTACATTGGGTCAAACTTAACATCTCTTAATGTTCGACGGCTTGTGCACCAGATCTTATTTATTCACGATGTACTTACAAAAAAATCCGCAGACTACCTACTGGATCTCCTCTCTGTTTCAAAGAACAAATTTGACCTCAGGTCTTCGCTCATTTACCAGCTTCACATTCCCTATTGCCGTACAAAAACTGGAGGAAGGGCCTTTGCTATTGATGCCCCTAGGGTCTGGAATGCTATTGCCAATAAACTGCAACTTGAATCACTACCTATGAGATCTTCACTCAAAACTGCTCTAGAGGAGTTGTACACCCCTAGCTGCCACTGCTATTCAGTGGCCTAAAATATGGCTCTAGATTTTGGTGTTATAATTTATTTACGTAGTTTATTGTAAAAAATTCGGTCACAGTCCCTATGATCACTGTTACATTGCATTTATGGCTTTTATTTTGGTGATTTCGAAAACTTTTTTTTGTTTTGGCCATGCTTTTGTTTATTGTAGTACGGAGTTAGACTGATGGCCTTAATCTTAGTTGTCTTGTGGTTGTTGTTACTTGACTTGCATCCCACTGGGATTTTTGCACACAGCGTTGTTTTTTTTCCTGGATTTTCTGTTTGCACACTCACATAGTCCCTTTAAGATGTTTTCTTGTTCATGTTTTTGTTTGTTGCGGTTGCACCCGATTCAAGAGCCGAATGGCTCACAGGGCTATACCAAATAAATGAACTATGGAACTATGGAGAAGAGATGGAGTGATGTGGTACAGGAGGACGTGGAGCTGAGTGGACTTGCCGATGACTGGTACCAGCGGTATCAAGATCGACCTCTGTGGAGGAGGCTCGTGAAGGATGCTACTGGGCAGTTGGAGGTAGTCGCCCTCCAGCAACAACGGAGGGCGGAGGAGCGACGCTCACAACAACGAGCGGAGCGCCGGGTGGCTAAAGCACAGCAGGTTGGCACAGTAGGGGGCACAGGTGGTGCATCAGCCAGTCATCTCAGTCAGTCGACCCGTGGCACCTGGGTCTGCCCCGTGACCTCCTGCCAGCGGGCGTTCGACACTTCACGTGGCCTCAGGGTGCACATAGCCTGGCACAAGCGTCGTGGTGACGTCACCGCCACTTAGTGGCGAATGGCGGTTGTTGTTGTGTGTATATATGTGTGTGAGTGTGTATGTGTGTGAGTGTGTATGTGTGTATATGTGTGTGTGTGAGAGTGTGTGTGAGAGTGTATGTGAGTGTATGTGTGAGTGTCCGTTGTCGTACCTCGGAGCCGTGCCGTGCACGCGCCGCACTTCCGTGTGCCCCGGCCCGAGAGCGCGACGCCTCCCACCGCCTCCTCCCGGAACAGCCCTGGGACACGGGGGGCACACGGCACGGGAGGCACGGGAGGCACCTGCCGCTGCCGCCGCCGCCGCCGCTACTGCTGCACCTGCCGCTGCTGCCGCCGCCGCTGCCGGCTGTGGCGGTGGAGCGGGGTCCGTCCCGGCGGGGCTCAGAGGGCGCCGAGTGGACCGCGTGGCACCGCCCTCCACCGCCACTCCACTAAGATCGTCGTTCCCCGCGCTTCCTTCCCTCGCACGCACAGCGCCGGTCGTGGCTCCCACACTTGGATGGTTCACGCCCAATTCCTCTCGGCTCGTTAGCAGCACCAATGCCCGTTCCCAATTCATTCATTCATTCTACTCGTGGTCAAAAGGAAACTCCGTCAATCGGAGTGGGGGGGGGGATCCAATGAGATAATTTGCTCGCATTGAGCGCTGTTTGGTAAGTGCTGTATCGTGCTGCTGCACCGTTTGTGTCGATCCGGCCTCCTCACGCCGTACGCGGGTCGTGAGTGGTTATCTGACCCAACTGCACCCGCCGGCCAGAGAGGGTTGGTGCTAAAGTCCAGGAGCACAGAAGTACAGTACAATGTTTTTCCCCCTGTTGCACTGTTACCCACAAGTCCCGCAGCAGCCTGCGTCACCTGTGGTATGCATTGGTGGTCGCCCATCCTAGCAGTATTTTTTCGAAATCTGGCGTATTCAAGGCGATTTGATCATGGGCGTCTGTTGCATGGTTTTTGCAAATGTTCTGATAAATTAAACGTACGTAGCCTAACTCTTGAAACCTCAACATTTATTCCTATGCACTTTGTTTCGACTTAATCAATTTCACGATAGGTTAAACCATGCAAGTTATTATTTAATGTTGATTTGTTTCTGCAATATTTTCGACTTATAATGTAAGTTTTTTCTTTTCCACATTGTTGCACTGTTTTATATTGCTTTTGATTTTGGTAACCCGTCACTATTTCAAATGAAACTCATCCTGATCCGTCTCTTAATTACTTATTTACCCAAGATAGCTCCACTGAATTGGAGGAATTCTTGGGTATTCATTTTAAGATGTTTTCAGCCAATTGACGTGTTTCTACATGTGGGAGGAAACAGGAGCTCACCCACACACGCAAGGGGGCAACACTATCCCGGTGGCGATGGAAACAGATGGCGATCAGTCCACTCGCTTTACTGCCTTCTCATGGTGAGCCAGGGTATGGCACCTCAACGCCCACTGGGAGTATCACATTTGTGCCATCCACCAAAACCCTGGCCTCCAGTGTTTGATTAGAGGCATGCGCCACCACAGTCTCTTGAGTTCTCAGCGTGTTAAAGAAAATAAACTTTAACTTATTTTAATTGGTTTATCATCCATAAGAGGTTTTGGGTTAGATCGCGTAAATGTGTCGTTAAACCTGCCACCACCCGCCACAGCCAACCATTATGGGTTGTCACTAGGGGGGGAGCCACAGGGGGGGGTTGGGGGGGGGCTGAGCCCCCCCTGAAATTTTGGGAAAGTCGGTAATCGGGATAACCGGATATCCGGCTGCTGCAAAATGCTGCAGGCTGCCACCTCGTGCTGCCCTGCAGGCTGTCACCTTGTGCTGCCCTGCAGGCTGTCACCTCGTGCTGCCCTGCAGGCTGCCACCTCGTGCTGCCCTGCAGGCTGCCACCTCGTGCTGCCCTGCAGGCTGCCACCTCGTGCTGCCCTGCAGGCTGCCACCTCGTGCTGCCCTGCAGGCTGCCACCTCGTGCTGCCCTGCAGGCTGCCACCTCGTGCTGCCCTGCAGGCTGCTTGAGCGGCAGCCTTTCGAACTTATCGAATTTATTAGCCACATCAGCGGCTCCGACCTATTAACTCAGTGTTCAAATCCAATAAAATGTGTTTTATACATTCGTGGCGCCCATTGGAAAACAAACACTGGATATCTCAATATTGAAGTCAGCCCCCAAAGTCAAAATCCTGGCTCCGCCCCTGGTTGTCACGTAAACAGAACATGCCAATTCGTCACTAGTACAGCACACACGCGATCTAACCCAAAACCTGTATTATGGATTATTTTAATTGGAAACCCAGTGATTTGTAAAGTATACAGGGCAGTGCTAATAACAAGTATGAATACACTTGATACATTAAAAGTTGGAGGAACAATATGGAAACGCACGGCATACGTAGAGGTACTGCACATCCAATGAATGATTGAAGGCAAACCGTGATCAAAATACAATAGAATCAAACAGAGGCAGGGTGTGCTTTTAAAACTTTATTTGAAAACTAACAAAAAAAATCACTAAAGTGCCTAAAGAGGAAAGTTTTCAATCACTGCAAATTGTCTGCTGACACATGGACAACATTAAATTTCAGATGAAGTCGAACACATACATCAGAGAAAAACAAATTAGATATATTGACCGTTTGGAAAGAGGGCTTGGGCAGGACACATCCTAAGAGGGATGACGTCATATAGACAAGACACATGATCATGGCAGGCAAAGACCCAGCCAAGAGGAAAACTAGCAGAGATGCAGCGATGAGATTAGCTGAAGTGGGAACAAGATTCATTTCACAAGACTGACGAATAGCAATGATGTTCTGAAGCCATCCAGCGGTGGATTGATCATGGCTGTTGATGACCATGTGCCCCACGTGGGAGCTTGTGTCAAGTTTTAGGGACAGTGTCGAAATGCCAGCTGTATGAGTAAAGTCACTTCCAAACGCAATTTTTTTTTATTATGCATTTTATGCATTAATGCTCCAACATTGTATTTGGTTAAAAGGCAACCTGAGTAAGTAAAACACGAAGATAAAAACCTCCAAAATATTTTAAATGCATGGAAAAAAACCCCAATTCACACCTGACTTGCTGTCCATGCCAGTTTGCCTTGGCAGTTGTAAAACCTCAAAAAAACATGCTGCAAATTCTGCACCGTCAAACTCTTCCATTGGAAAAGTTGTTTCAGCCATCCTGTGGTGGGATATCGCTGCCGGAGCCTGAGCGACTTCCACTTTGGTTTGTACAGCAGCAGCAGCAGGGCAACCGGCCAGTCGGCTGACAATTTCCAGGCGTAAAAATGAATCAAACGTAAAATATTCAGTACAGAGTACTGTACGAGTTTCATCACCCACCCACACTGACCAGCTTGGTGAGGTATGGTCCAACAACCCCCATGACTGGACACAGAGTGGGGCGGGGCCATCATCTAGCAGTGGACTGACAAGAGCTGGAAATTACTATTGAAGTGCAAGCTTGATTTTCAAAGTAATTACAAGACATTTGTCATCACAATCAGCCATTATCAATCCACTGCTGGATGAAGGCCTCTCCAAAGAGCTTTGAGATGTAACACTCCACCTAGCACCTGAGCTGATTTCATTGCTCCATCTCCTCAGTGGACATCCAGACACCTCCGATTAGCACGGTGCAAAATAACTTCAAAATACACCCAGACAAAACAAGTTACTACTGGTAAATTAGGCATAGATAAAAGACATTCGAGTTAATGTATTTTAAAGTCCTAAATGTTGTTTTATAATAAATTCAGTACTCCTACATAAAGCAGATCAATAGCCTGGCTGTGACATGTGTATCGCATATGTAGGAAATGTGATGTCAAAACTTCTGATAAGCAGTGCTGTATTACTATGAAGTATGTAATTTGTGATCTTCATTAACCCTTTTCCACACAAATATCACGTGACAATAATGTATAACAAAAATCAGATGCACTGCACATACCCCCACTGCAATCACATGACTTCAGGTTTGTGTCTCATGTTTTTTTCCAAGCTGTGAAGTGATTAACGACACAGATAATGTTGAACAAAGTGTGGTTAAGGTGGAATGTTGTTTAAACGTAGTAGAGTTTGCACGTCTTACATCAATTGATGAATCCATCATTGCTTTTTAACAGCCAACCTCCAATTAGCAATGTTTGGCTACGTACGGTATGAAAGAAGTTCAACATACAACCAGGTGCTTATCACCTGCCTTTAATGGTCAAAGCCAAGTTAGAGACAATTTTCCAAAAGGACAAAAATAGTTGGCAGGCTTCGTGCACACGAAATTTAACAACCCAATAACATCGATCCGTCACCACAGAGCTTGTTCCGTGTTCACCCAACGACTCTCGTGACGCCCCCTCTTCTCCCCTCTACACGTCAAACGGCAAGAGCTCGAACGCGAGCACGCACTCCACCAACCACCCAGACGGGACGGTCCACACTTTGCCGAGCCGCGACACTCCGCTGAGGCCGCCCAGCCACGCGCCGTCGTACACCACGTAGTGCGTGCAGAACTCTTGGTCCGAGTGGCGGCGCGCGTGGTACGCGGCGCGGCGCACGCTCTGCGTCACGTCGCTGTCGGCCTTCGGCTGCCGCGACAGCATGCGCCCGCCGCCCACGCGCACCATCTCTGACAAGTCGAAGCGGCTGGGCTCGTCGAAGGGGCCACCCAGGAAGAAGTAGCAACCGTCGAAGAGGCCCGGAAGCTGCGCCCGCGCACAAGACCGGCAGCGCAGCATTCGGATTTGTTTTTCTTTATTTGTTCTGGTTATTTCGTCTCCAAGGTGTTCATGAACAAAAAATATGCTGCTGCGGTTGTAATTGTACGCACGCTGGAATTGTAATCCAGATGTCGTCGGTTTGATCTACAGGCGCAGAAATTAAATGGATACACCCAGAGTTGGTCGATCGGTAGATCGTGTGTGGTGGGGAAAAGCGTGGAAAATTCCCACCTCTTCTCAGACATCTAGTCAGTGCAGAGTAGGTCAAATACCCTCTCGAGGGATTCTATAGCGCTCCATCTAGTGGAGTCCCCTGTGCCAGCAGTGTCATGAGCAAGGAATTGTAGGGCTGTACCTCTAGCTTTTATCTTTATGTTCATTAAAAACGAGACTTATGGTTTCAATGGTCTTTTTACTGGATATAAAGTTCATCTATATATTTATACTAGAAGTCTAACCAAATCTCAAGGCTATTATTCATCAGGATCCAGCATTAGGATTATTTGCCCGATTTCCATTTTCAGAAGAATTTTGCGTGTGGTTGGAAACTGACACTTTTGAGAATCTTACACACCATAAGGTCTGCAGAGGTAGGTTCAGGAACACATTTACTGTATGGTCATTCTCGTAGGCCAGCAATTTAGGCGAAGTGTGCGTGATCCACCAGCCTTTGCCTCCAATCCAAAGTGCTGGATTGCAGGCGTGCGCCACCACGCCCGACTATGACAGGCCAAAGTACAACAGGCCATTTGCAAGTCACTACGAATACCCAGATATAAATGTATAATTGTGTAGTAACCCATTGGCATGTAATGCCTTGAAACACATGCTCATGTTTAAGATATTTAAGGATACGGCATCATAGAAAACCCCCACAATCCCTTGCGACGTCACCAGAGACCATTTTGGCCATTTTCATGTTCACCGAATTAGTTCAAATGCAGGTCCAAGGTGGATTATTGCATGGCAGGATCATGGGAGGTGGCAGATGCTTGGGAAGGCCTTCATCTAGAAGTGGATTGACCACGGCTGATGATGATGATCACCTGCTGAAGTTTGTTGAGTCTCCCTCTCTCCGGACCACGACACGGCAGGGAGCCGTCACGTCCCCTCACTTCGAAGTCCTGTTCTGGCACGCGCTCGTGCCTCGCCAGACAGGCTTGCACCCCTGAAACAAACAAACGTGACGATGACAAGGAATCCTTTGATTTAAATTTACTTAATTCAATGTATATTTATACGGGATACAAAAAAATGTGGCATCTCAAATGTTATCGTTTGTCCGCTTTAAGCAATTATGCATAGTGCTCGATAGCAAACAATGCACATTTTGGCACAAACTGTTGAATGCAAAATGTGACCTCAAAAATTATGTATTAAGAACAGAACGATTAAATAAAGATTTTGAAACTAACTTATGTTTGTCTTTTAAACCTACAGGGATCATCCCATGACAAACAATGGAGCCCACAAATGTCCACTGCACACAGAGCTAGACAATATCCTCCGATGACCTTCCCTTTAAGACTCTGGACACACAAACTGTGCATTTCTGCTTGGCTCCTCCACACAAGAGTGCCGCAGCGTGCAAACTCCCTGATCAACGCAGCAGCAGTCGGTGAACCAAGCTTTGCCCCTAGCTTCAGAGCAAACGCGCTCAGTTTGTACAGCGAGCAACTGGAGAGGCGTGCAGGTGATGCTTACACTGGAAGCCGATAATCCAGCAGCCGTTGAGGATGGCCAAGAAGCATTTCATGGTGCGGGGAATTTGCATTGTGGAGTCGACGATGACGTGAGTTGCTGTTGACAGGGAAAGGACAAAGGTTTACAGTTCTACACAAAGAAGAATGAAGGTACATTCAAACTGTTTTATGTATACAGCCCGAAGATATATGGTATTAAACATTTTCCACAAAAAATCTGACCGTGAATTAAATTGTGTTGTAATTAATCGTTGGACCATTGTGTGTATCAGATGTAATTACTACAAATGTGCAAAAGCTTGCCGAGTTTTCTTATAATTTGACATAGGTGGTACAAAAAGTTCGAGCCGAATACAGAAGTAAAATCAGAGACGACCGATGTCGCAGCTACTTATAGTCCACAAGTATACCCAAACAACTTGGGAACAACATTCTGGACTGTTTTGTTCATAATTTACATGTCATCTATTGCAGGTAAACAATGATAGATGCTAAATGTCAAATAAGTCCATTATCTTCCTGTCATAAAATGTATGACGCTAGATAACATGAAACAAAGGAAATCGTTCCGAATGCCGACTAAAAATACGAGTCTCCAGCATGCTGACACGTGACACTATGAGGGAGCGTCTGATAACTTCACATGAATATCTTGGTCTGATGGAAGGCAAACTAGGCCAGCTTTAGGGATCAATTTATTGTCAGTGATGAGACCCGGATTTACCATTATGACTCCAAAGTCCAAATAGCAGTCGATGCAATGGAAATATCCAACTTCTCCAACACGCAAGAAATCCCAAGTCAGCACACAATGCAGTCAAGATCACTTGCACCTAATTTTGGTATGCTAAAGGTGCAGTTCATATTGACTTTGAGAAGATGATTAAAGGTCACTATGATACAGACGTGCTTCACCGACCACATGAATTGATCAAAGAAAACTTCCACGGAAAGATGAGAAGCACACTGTGTTTTCTGAATGACAGTGTCGCAGTACACACTGCAAGAGTGAAAGAGGCCGCTTCAAGGAAACTGGAGACCAGGCATCCTGCCTATTCCTCCAGACCTGGCTCCCAGTGACTCGTATAACTTTCCCGAATTGTAGGAGCATGTGCATGGAAGGATTTTTCAAGGATGGCGAGCTGTAGAAAGCAGTGCATGGGAACCCGAGGGGGCTGGGAGAAACGTTACTCCTAGAGGGAATCAAAAAAGAAAGATGCGGGAAATGTTACGTATTTATCATTGACCGAGATGAGACCCTTAACAGGTCATACTTTTGAACCTAGTTCAAACGTGGGTGGGAGCCCAGGAATCAAAGCCAAGCTCTGATTGGTGCTGGCACAATACTCGAACATTCCTTTACAGCCCGCGAGGCACCCAACCTCCTCTGCTAACAACAGGAATTCTCAAGACTGCAGACTGTAGTGAGAGATAGCGCACCAGAGTTGTTGAACGTGGAGACAACTCGTCCTCCCAGTGTTGTGGCAACTCTCTTCAGGGACTCCTTCTGATGCTCGGATAGTCTGCTGTCCAGCAAAACCATGGGGCCAATGGGACCACTCGGAAGCTGAAACAGGTCAACCACAAACACACACGCATTAACCTTTTTATCCTGGTTAAACTATTTGGATGTATGCTATCAGCGAACATCTGATTGGAATGCATACATTGGAGACGTTCAATGTCGCTGGCATTTGCATGCCCATTTTAGACACGGTCAACTGAGAGAAGGCTTGTGCCAAGTACTATCAATTCACTCTGTTGGTACAGCATGTAATCCAGTTGACTGGGACTGCAGGACAGCATGCTGTGTTACTGCTCGCACCCACACACATATTACACACCCACTCATACCAACACACACACATACACCTTTAAAGTAAAATGAACTGCCTTACATTCAGAATTGGCATGAGCTGGGCAGTGATTACAATCTCAAAAATTCCATCTCGTGTTGGGCTTTGTGGTACACTTCAGCAGCCCACACAATCTATTCAAATCGTAGGCGTAAAAATAAAAACTGGGTGTGTCTCTTCCATGTCCTTTTCAAGGCTAAGATAGGGAAGATGGGCCCACATGGCCGGGTTTCAGAACCTGCCTGGTTACTTATTGCACGTAACCTTGTGGAGTCATGAGCAATAAAAAAAACGATAAAATACCCGAGCTGCCACTAGGGCTACACTTTATGTGCTTACACTTTACATCCACAACTGTAATGCCATCAGGCTCGCTAAGACGATGGAGGAAGGTTTCTTAGCTGATTCTATAATTGAGAAGAAAGTTTTAATGCTGCCGATTAAATGTTTATGGAATTGATGCTGCCCACCAGGTTACACTACTGTGGTTCAGCGAGGGCAAGCCAAGAAAGAGGGGTGAGGAGGACCCGTAGCGATGTTTGGACAAACTTCTGTGAAGCAAAAGTTTGGGTGGTCTTTCAGCCACATTGACCAATATCAGCATCTTGCACTGCAGCTATCAAGGCACACGATCGAGTGGCCATGACACACTTAATAAATAGCAGTATCATTACAAAATATATAAATATACAGGAAAACCTCACCGAGTATCAAGATTATTTTCAGGAGGGTCCTCCAATGGAATGATCAGATAATTTGATTATAATTTGCTTTTTGTGTGGAAGGAAACCGGAGTAGCCAGAGAAACCACATGCATACAAGATAACACACTAAGGTATGTCCAGGTAGGTTGGCAATCTAATTTGCTGTACTGTACTATTTTAGCCCCCTTACAGTTTGGAAGTTTTACAAATCCAAGCGATCCACCAACCTTTGCCTCCAGTGCTGGATTACACATGCGTGTGTCACCACGCCCGACTCTGGTTTGATTTTACTGATCTTCACAGCCCATACACACTCAAATAATGACAAGTATCTTTAGAACTATTTATAGATGGTTGACATTCAAACTAAGTAATAGTCTTGGGAAGATACCTCGTCTTATGTGCCAGATTTCCAACAACAAAAAAAATCGTCACTTTTCTCCAACTCTCAAGTTATCTTTCTGGTTAAGTTTGCAAATTATGAATTGGAAAACTGATGCATATACTTTGTAATATACCTGAAATGTAAATGGATGTTATGTAACGTTTATGAACAAAGTTAGGTGACGTGGAAACACTCGCATTCAATATTGATCACGAGACACAATCGAGATACTTTAAAGACTCAAATAATGACTAAAATTAGTTCAAAACATTAAATACTGATTGTTTTATTAACTGAAAATGTATCCACATTTGTATCTTATTGAAATGCAGTACAAACAAGAATGGCTACCATACTCCTTGGTAGAATTTCAATGTTTGACATCTGTGCCATTAAATACTAAACATAAACTAGAAATGTGTCCGGCCAGGTGGCTGGAAGGAATATATTTGTCTAGATTCCAAACAGGCTGCACTTTCAAATATTGAATTTGTCATATCATATAACTCGTATCCTCGAATCGTTTAAACTCTGAAGTCATTAACTGAGGGGCGATGCAATTATTCAGGATGGGCGATATCTTCTTCGTTTTTCATGCTCAAAGCCACATGCATATATAAGTGCTCAACGATATTCAAAAACAGCATAATATAGAAAACATCCTTTCAAAATAAATACAGTAGTATATGGCATTCATTAACTGTTTTATAACACACCAATTTAACTTCAAAAGGACATTCAGAGGCGTGGGAGAATATATTCAAGAAAAAGTCAGAGTCTGACAGAGGGACAACACTGACAGTGAGAGAGGTGGATGTGCACAGTGTGCGGAGGAAGGGAATCCCAGACTGGAGCCAGGAGAGAGAACCCGACGTTCTCCTTGTCTGGATACATGGCTGGGCTCAACAAGGACGCCACTAAGGTAATTGTGCTCCAGTATGAAACGCTGCTGGCCGATGGTTGAGGATAACGACGGAGTGGCAGCCAAAGGAGCGAACAAGTCAGAAATAGGCCCACGTGAAAACGGACTGTGATGCCGCAAGGTCACAAGCGATGGAGACAGCTTGCGTAGGCCTTCACCACGCATAGATTGTAACAGGTGATATGTTTATAATTGAAAAAGAAAAACCTTCATTCCAGCTATTATGTTTCTGTAAAAATGACTGTGAACCACTTGAGCACATAAGACAAGGCCATTAAATTGTCAACTATCAAACTCATGATTGATTCTCAAAGTCAGTGAGGTGTCATGTAATATTTTCTGTGTCGATGCATAAAAATACAAGCTGTTAGACGTAGTGAGGGATAATTTGCAGACAAATTTTTATTTTAAACTCCAAATATCCACAAGCTTCAACTACATTACTTGTCATTGTACAAAGAATTGTGTTATCACATGGAACTACAGTACTGCCGGCGATATGGTGTACACTCACCCTCCTACCAGCTGCTTGGAACGGCAGTATTCCTTCAACTTTTCTATTTTGTCGAAATAAAACAAACTGGTTCTACAGTAGCCATTTGTTTCTGGCTACTTGCGCTCCACTTACCGTGTTCAAAATATGTGATTCTCCCGTAAGCAGTTGCCTTACTCCTAAATGCAACAGGCTATTCATGGGCGGCTTAAGAAATTTGATGGAAAAGATTTTCCCAGAGGTTTATGCATCAATCCGCACCACATGACATCAATGCATTGTTTATTTCTCAAAGCAACACGTATCATCTTTCCACTGTCTCCTCTTGTCTACAGTGGTAATGGGCGGCTTTATTAGGTGTAACACGGCACTATTTCACGATCTTTTCACAGTGTCCACCACAGACGTGCGTGCACAAAGACATTTAAATGTTGGTTATAATGGGAGGTGCATGGCTGCACAAAACTAAATACACCAACACGACCCCTTAAATGCAATGTTTAAATCATAACTTTCCGATAAAATCCTTGGCTATGCCAAATTCGGTGCAACTTTAGTGCTATTTTACTACAGTACCAATCAATTCCAAACGTCGTGTTAAAGCAGCCTGCCTGACATTTTCGACAACCGGAACCAGTTGTTCTGGTCTACCAATCCTCAACGGTAACTCACTTTCAGATTAAAGTCAGGCAGCTTGTTATCGCGCGGTAAAAATAAGCACACCCCCTCTGCCGGTCTCTTCTGGTACTGTGGTTTTATGACTGCTGCACTACAGTACCTGAATATTCATACGGCTTAGCAATTGATATCTGTAATTATGCGAAATATGTATGCATTACAGAGATGCATGCTTGGAATTACACTGAGAGACAGAATATGGAACATACGGATTAGAGAACAGAGCTTGGGATCATAAGGAATGCAGACGAAAAAAATGGCCGATGGAGAGAATGCACCCAAGTGGGTGACCATCATGGAGATGGAGTAATGAGCTCAGCTCATGCGCAGGAGTGAGATGGATAGCAATAGCCCTGGACAATGAGGGATGTCAATGGCGTGGGGAAGGCATTTCATCAAGCAGTGGATATACAATGGCTGACGATGATTAAAAATTATAACAACAGCAGTCAGCATTGAGCCATCCCGGACAAGCTTCTGTACGCTACAGTGCTCGCTGCCTGTGGGGAGAGATGAGGCATCGGGAGGCTGTGTGAAGAGGGTACGTACGCTCGCGGGCAGACTGAAGGTCGGCGTGCTGGGCTCGAACGGCTGGCTGGTGAACACCATGCGCATCTCCTCGCTATTGGCATAGTCCAGCGGTTTCAAGCCCAGCATGTTCCTGCATAGGATTAAATCCATTTTACATTGAACAAAAAATAACGTGAAACCCAAGACATGAGGAGTCAGTTGGTAAATAAATGTTTGTGGCGCTAATCTTGTTGTGAAAACGTTTTTTGTTTAAGCGTTTTATTTTGATGCAATTTCTTAACTTGTTTATAAAAAAAAAGTATTTTCCTTGTCAGTAGAGTTTTCATTTACTTGGTATGTATGTGTGTTGGCCCTCTTTCGTACCATATGTAGCCAACCGCATATATGGAATTTGGTCTATGTAAAATGTATGTACAGCGTTGTGGGATGCTGTTGGCATGATTGACGATATTTATAATGAAAGTATTATTATTGCTGTCATCTCCTTACATTTAGAGTATTTATTTGGTTTCAATAAATGTCCACATGATAATCCAGTTTGTTGGCCTATAATTTGTGGCCAGGTCGCTTCTGAAAAAAAGAACTACATAGCTCAGTGGGCCTTAGTGGTAAAATAAAAATAGTTAGTTAATTAGTGTCTGGACTCGATCATTGCGCGTTATGTCAACGGTACACCTCCGCTTCAGCAGTGGGAAAACAACCCGGCATAGGACTGGCACGGCACACCTTGGGTTGGTTCAGTGGAAAAAAGAGGTAGTGAGGGTTGTGCTGTGCGTGCTCGCTCACAGCGCGTGCTGGTCGGCCCCGCGACCCACGAGCAGGCCAGCCACGTGCGTGTGCCCGTTGGAGACGGCGTCGTGCAGCGGGGAGTCGTTCTCGTAGCCCGGAGCATTGATGAACGCGCCATGGTCCAGCAGCAGCTCCACCACCCGCGCGTGTCCGTGGTTGCACGCCTCGTGCTGTGCGGGCGGCATGAAAGGGCGCGCGTGCGCACAGAATAAAACAATTATGAAACGAAACAAATGCATCCACAAGTGCGATTAAAATAAACCACGTGGAGGGGATGACGCCATGTATGGAGGTTCAAACATTTGAATTTTTGTTGATATATATAGCCATTTGGGTATAGGATGACAAAGTGATACAGTCCAATTTATAGTTTCAGAAGTAAATATGATACAGTATAATGATAAGAGATACCTTTAACCTCATTGGTAAACAGCACCACACATTAATTTTAACGTGGCTTTAAATATTACACAATGGAGAAGGTTTACATAAACTTGCTATTGGCTTTAATGATCATAGAGCGATAATTTTCTCCTCAACTTACCAGAGGGGTCCATCCAGCATTGTCCTTGATGTTTGGATTGGCACCATTCTCAAGAAGGTGTTCAACTCCATCAATATCACCCTGCCACACAAGACACATTAGTGGACCGCAACGCAACAGATTGAAACGAGGGCCTGCCAACGAGGGCTTGACAACATTGCAGTGTCATTTACTGCACTGGATTCTTTTTTTTGCTTGTGAAGTTTCCCACGATTTCAGATCTGCTCACCAACCATGACAGCAAAATTTAACATTGGCACTTAAAACACTTTTAACACAAAAATGCTCCAGTAAACTCAAAATTATCTGGGCCAATGGAGGGAAGGGATAGCATGGCTAAAAAAAACCCGACAATGCCAAACATGTTAACTCGGGTGTAAAACGCCCATTATCTACAAAATATGTGGGTGAAGGTGTAATGTGTCGTTTGTGTTGTTTCGTAAGGTAATTGACACGAGTTAGCAAGCAGCTAATAATAGCACCAGCATGTGTAAAAGGCACGAATTAGCGTGGAATTGCAGATTTGATATTTCTTGGTCTTTATTTTGCAATAACAGTTAATCCACAACCTCGATATAATCTGCCCATGTTAAGTAACAAAAAACAAGTGCTTGAAATTGAATGCCGTGGCTTCTATGTGTAAAGTTAGTAACGAACATTTGTTCATCTTAGAGGAAATAAAGTATTATTTAAGTCTGGGAACCTTGATGGCAGCGACGTGCAGCGGTGTCTCGCCCTTTCTGTTCTTCTTCAGGACCTCCGAGGTCCCGGGTGAGCCAGCCACACTCCCCTCGGCCTTCCTCCTCCCGCCAACGCCAGGGGGCGACTTTTGCAGAATGCTTCCATTCCAGCAACTCTTTGCTTTCTGTAGCAAAAAATAAAAAAGTGCCTACACTGGTACACAGCAACCCCTGGACCTTGAGGGATTAGTGGTATTTGGTCAACGTACCTCACTTTACATTTATAAGTACGAGTGAAATTCCATGCAATGAAATACAAAAATAAACTTACTTTATATTTTCTAATAGCGAGGTATAGGCAGTGACAAGAGTACTGATCGGCAGTGAGAATGAGACAGGTGTTAATGTACGATGTAAAAAATTTAGCATTTAAGTTACATCAAATGATGTATCTAAATGCAATGAGTTTAACCGTTGTATCTGTCAACTGTGCGCCTAACAGCCGCACCTTGGAAGGACTTGCACCGCTCGGCCGCTCCAAGGCCCGCTTGCTCATCGCTCCCAAGGCAGAGTCAGTTGTCGTCTTCTCTGACTCCGAGTTTCTGCCTGATGGGTTGCTCTCGACCGACTCTCCCGACATCGTTGGGCTCCACAATGACTGGAAAATTGTGCTTCCAGCGGCCACGGCACTGTTAGCGTCCGGGGACGGAGTGGCACTCCCGCTTACAGCACTACATGTCACATTACTGCTATCGATTAGAAACACTTGCTCGGGGCCAAACGAGATGAGGCGGTTATCAGCCGGATCTTTTTGTACAACTTCTATCTTACTGGCAACATCTGTGCTCTCGCTTGTATTCTTCTTCCGCTTTTTGCCAAAACCCCATGACTTGTTAATGGCCGATAGCCTCTTCCGTACCGTTTTTAGACGCCTGGGCTGTGGTGGATGAATCAGTGTCTGATCAGGAGACGACTGGGAGGATTGGAAGTCGTACACCGATGCGTAACTTCCATCTGCAGCACTGGTCTTGGCATTCTCCTTGTCCTCAAGTGGCCGAGTGGGCTTTTTGATGTGGCAACGCACCTGCCCACTGCGGGGACTGAACTGCATGCTGACCACATTGGCTTTTTTGGTCAGCTCCGGCGTTTTTATAATTTCAGGTGATGGCTTGATATCTTTCTCTCCTGTGTAATAAACACGAGTGTCACATCTGACGAATCCACAGTGATTCACTCCCATTCTCTGAAGGATGAGATTGCATACATCTCTTCCCCTTGGTAATCTCAATTTACTTAAATTCATACAGTTAACATTCTGATTCAAATATATGTATTTTACATTCAATTGCTGCTGGGTCATTCAATGTTGTTAAATGTATTTGTTCAATGAACTCAACAGAAATATTTTATTAAAAAGACTATGGTATAAAATAAAAGCAAAAATATTTTAGGCAAAACAGTACACATACAGCCCTTTGTCAACCAATGATGGACAGGGGCCTCTCCACACCGTACAGGTCTTGGGATAATTTGATCGTGCCTCACCACACTGGTCAGTCCGGGTTGGTGAAGGCAGCGAGCGCAGGATTAATTTAGTTCAGTACAACAGATGTTTCTGCCCTGCACTCCACCTGCCAGCATCTCCATGTAAATGGATATATATGCATGTTTAAACTCACGTGGCCCTGGTTGCTGTAGGGAGAGTGAACACGCTTTGTCAGAGGGTGGAGTGTCGGTTGCCAGGAGCTCACGCAGCTGCCGGCACAGGGTCACCATACCGGCAAGCTGCCGATTTGCCTGCAGATCTCTGACCCAGGACGGTGCCTGACAGATGGGGCAGCTGTTGCCGACATGATCGCTCACGCAAAGCCTGAGGAATTCGTTCATGAACACAGGAAGGGACATGGCTTTAAGCGACTGCACAGGTGCATTTTTATTCCATTAAATTTTTCATGTTTGCCAAAATTCACATGTACATCATGACGCAAATTATCCAAGATAACACATTCATTGTGGGGAGTGGCTGTGCTGTGAACATAGTAACCCGAGTTTGAGTTATGGCATCCATCCATTGTCTCCACTGCCGCAACAGGCAATGGAAATGAACCGGCGACCTCTGGGTTGCAAGTGTTTCAGTTTTAGTTTCAGTTACATTTATTTGGTATAGCCCTGTGAGCCATCGGCTCTTGAATCGGGTGCAACCGCAACAAACAAAAAACATGAACAAGATAACATCTTAAAGTGACTATGTGACTGTGCAAACAGAAAATCCAGGAAAAAACAGCAAAATATTCCAGAAAAAGCACCGTACACCAACGCTGTGTGCAAAAATCCCAGTGAGATGCAAGTCAAACAAACAACAACAACCACAAGACAACTTAGATTAAGGCCATCAGTCTAACTCCGTACTACAACAAACATGGCCAAACCAAAAAACTTTTCGAAATCACCAAAATGAAGCCATAAAGGCAATGTAACAGTGATCAAAGGAACTGTCACCGAATTTTCACAATAAACGACATAAACAGTGAGGGAAAAAAGTATTTGATCCCCTGCTGATTTTGTACGTTTGCCCACTGACAAAGAAATGATCAGTCTATAATTTTAATGGTAGGTTTATTTGAACAGTGAGAGACAGAATAACAACAACAAAATCCAGAAAAACGCATGTCAAAAATGTTATAAATTGATTTGCATTTGAATGAGGGAAATAAGTATTTGACCCCCTCTCAATCAGAAAGATTTATGGCTCCCAGGTGTCTTTTATACAGGTAACGAGCTGAGATTAGGAGCACTCTTAAAGGGAGTGCTCCTAATCTCAGCTTGCTACCTGTATAAAAGACACCTGTCCACAGAAGCAATCAATCAATCAGATTCCAAACTCTCCACCATGGCCAAGACCAAAGGGCTCTCAAAGGATATCAGGGACAAGATTGTAGACCTACACAAGGCTGGAATGGGCTGCAAGACCATTTCCAAGCAGCTTGGTGAGAAGGTGACAACAGTTGGTGCGATTATTCGCAAACGGAAGAAACACAAAATAACTGTCAATCTCCCTCGGCCTGGGGCTCCATGCAAGTTCTCACCTCGTGGAGTTGCAATGATCATGAGAACGGTGAGGAATCAGCCCAGAACTACACGGGAGGATCTTGTCAATGATCTCAAGGCAGCTGGGACCATAGTCACCAAGAAACAAATGGGTAACACACTACGCCGTGAAGGACTGAAATCCTGCAGCACCCGCAAGGTCCCCCTGCTCAAGAAAGCACATATACATGCTCGTCTGAAGTTTGCAAAGGAACATCTGAATGATTCAGAGGACAACTGGGTGAAAGTGTTGTGGTCAGATGAGACCAAAATGGAGCTCTTTGGCATCAACTCAACTCGCCGTGTTTGGAGGAGGAGGAATGCTGCCTATGACTCCAAGAACACTATCCCCACCGTCAAACATGGAGGTGGAAACATTATGCTTTGGGGGTGTTTTTCTGCTAAGGAGACAGGACAACTTCACCGCATCAAAGGGACGATGGACGGGGGGCCATGTACCGTCAAATCTTGGGTGAGAACCTCCTTCCCTTAGCCAGGGCATTGAAAATGGGTCGTGGATGGGTATTCCAGCATGACACTGATCAAAAACACACGGCCAAGACAACAAAGGAGTGGCTCAAGAAGAAGCACATTAAGGTCCTGGAGTGGCCTAGCCAGTCTCCAGACCTTAATCCCATAGAAAATCTGTGGAGGGAGCTGAAGGTTCGAGTTGCCAAACGTCAGCCTCGAAACCTTAATGACTTGGAGAAGATCTGCAAAAAGGAGTGGGACAAAATCTCTCCTGAGATGTGTGCAAACCTGGTGGCCAACTACAAGAAACGTCTGACCTCTGTGATTGCCAAAAAGGGTTTTGCCACCAAGTACTAAGTCATGTTTTGCAGAGGGGTCAAATACTTATTTCCCTCATTAAAATGCAAATCAATTTATAACATTTTTGACATGCGGTTTTCTGGATTTTGTTGTTATTCTGTCTCTCATTGTTCAAATAAACCTACCATTAAAATTAGACTGATCATTTCTTTGTCAGTGGGCAAACATACAAAATCAGCAGGGGATCAATTACTTTTTTCCCCTCACTGTACCACCAAATCCTGGAGCCATAGCCTGCTGCATGAGTCGCTCCACAACAACAGGAGCATCGGTCGGAGTATCACATTTTTCAATGCACCTTTAAGACAGGCACACTAAATCAAAACACAGATAATACTTTGCAGCGGTCATCCGGAGCGAAACATTTTATTTAATTTTAGGCCACTGAATAGCAGTGGCAGCTAGGGGTGTACAACTCCCAAAGAGCAGTTTTGAGTGAAGATCTCATAAGTAGTGATTCAAGTTGCAGTTCATTGGCAATATTCATTCCAGACCCTGGGGGCATTAATAGCAAAGGCCCTTCCTCCAGTTTTTTACGGCAATAGGAAATGTGAAGCTGGTAAATGAGCAAAGACCTTAGGTCAAATTTGTTATTTGAAACAGAGAGGAGATCCAGCAGGTAGTCTGCGGATGTTTTTGTAAGTGTAGCGTGCAAACTTGGGAATCAAGCTTATGAACTGGATACGGTTCAATTAGATCAAAATGGCCTTTTAAATTTCGATTTCGGTTCATCATTTGCAAAAACCAGGTTGAACAAGTTCACATCTAGATATTAAATTCGAAAAAAAGAACTCCCGTGTAGCTTATCGTTCATGCGACCATGTAGGCTACAGTTGAGGTGAAAAATACGAATGTGTTTTACCCTTTCTGGTAATAAAACAGGTTTTAAGATGTTCAAACACCTAATACATTTTTTACATCTTAACACCTGTTTCAGTGCCAGAAAGTGTAAACCTATTCTTATTTTTCATCATTTGGATACTGGCAAAAAGGTCCCATAGATAAACTTGAGGCTTGTGTTTTTCCCATGTTTGTTGCAACTTGCAAGAAGCGATTAGATGGAGACACAAAGGGAGACGCAAAGACAAACTGTAAAATAGTTAAATAATAATAATTACATTTATAGAGCGCTTTTCATCAAGGATCTCAAAGCGCTGTACAGGACAATACATGTTTTTCATGTACATTTTATAGAATTAACTGCTGTCTTTCTTACATGTTAATCAATAAAATAATCATGAAAGATGAGGGAATCTGTGCAGTGTGTATTGCTATGTTTTATTGGTCGTCGTGTTTGTATAATTGCAAGCACTAAAGCACAGTACATAAAATAATACAAACATGGTTAGCAATAACATACAACGCTCAGCATCCTTCATATCTACCTGATGGACTATCTCAATCTTTGTGTAGTCGCCTCTACTTATCGCTAGTTAACAATTCACTATTACAAATCGCTATTTTGTGCATCTGGACTTTATGTTTATATCACTGACTCTCACCCTCAACCCTTGCTTCGACGACGTGCAGATTCGTTTACTGCCCTAGTAAGTAGCTGTGCATAAGACGTTTCACCTCGTGACTGAGAGATAATGGTCAAGGTGGCCTCGAGTGGCACTGGTTTGGAGTGGTGCTTCTCAAACTGCTCAGCCGATCTCAAAATTTCCACGGACCACCCAGTCCCCCACCGCTGGTGTCAAAACGCATTCACTTATCTCTATAAATTTCAGTAATACGAAATCATGCATATTATTGGAACATAAACACTTTCTTTTAAACGCAGCTCTAATTTTTTTCTGGGGGGGGGGGGGGGGGATTTAGATGGGTTATGGTAGGTTTATTATTGGAGTAGTTTACCAACTTCATTTTTTTTAATTTAAAATAAAAAGTAAAAAATGTATTAACGTCTGAAACAAAAGGTATAAACATTGTCATTATTTCCGAATCAACTTGCGTTTGCATCACAACCCAAGAACCACGTGGAGGACCGTCGCGGACCGATCACTGGTGGTCCCCGAGAACCACCGCACGAGAGATTGCAGACTTTTTTTTAGTTATTACCAGGAACACAAGAAGAGATAGAGGGTCAAGTTGATGCTCCAAAAATTAAGCGGTGAAAACCAGCTGGGTTCAATGCATTGGTGTGAACCATTACACCACAGAAGCTCCTTTATGTGCTGCAAATCGTTAACTTGTTTTTACCATTTTTTCACGCGGTGACCGGTAATGCAAAACAAGATTCTCCTTTATCAGCAATTAAGTCATACAAGTAACGAGATAGTCGTTTAACATACAAATCATGGGGGAAAGATGACTGGCATTGGAGAACATATTATACATTTACATCATAAGAGTAACAATAAATCCCAACACTGAATAAAATGACAGCCAAAACAATGTTACCATATCACGTTTTAACAATGACATGGAAGAAATACAAGGTGGAAGCGAGCATAGGCATTGCTCTTTGCTTGGATTCAATGGGAGGCACAAAAGTTGTGCCAATGAAGCCGTGTAAGAAATCAATGAAACTCACCGGCAGAAAACGTGTTCACAGCCTCCCAAGCTGCACGGCTCACACAGCGTGCCTCCACTGGCACGCCACAAGGCAGACGGGCGTCACGAAGTAAGTTAAAGCATGAATCCGTAGGAAATGCATGCTCTTTAATGCAACCAAACTTGGACGAAGATAACATAACAGCTGCACAAAAAGAAGCCCTGATGTTTAGTTGGAAATTATTTGGGATCGCATTTTCCCTGTTTCATCATGAATTATTTGCCAAGGTGGCAGTTAAGTACCGTACTATCGCCCACATTCAGCCGGGCGTGAAGGTCGCACGCCTGCAATCCAACGCTTTACAAACAAGATTTGGGAATTTGGGATTCATAAAATTCCCAAATCTGTTAAGTAGTTGAGCTGCAAGGTGGATAGGAGACAGTACAGCCAGCGGGGTGTCTCGGATTTCTGTCATACAAAACAATCCTTAAAAAAGAATTGGTAAAACTTTCGTAATTAATTCCAGTCCTGTAAAATGCTAAATATTAAGCCTTATTTGAAAGCATACAAGAACATATTTAACTGTTAAAACAACGCAATAACACCTTCTTTGGTTCTTTCGGTAAAGTCACGTAGAATGAGAATAAAATAATAAATTGATAAAATAAAATAACACAATAATATTCTCACGACGTTTCGGCCACAACACAAGCGGCCTTCATCAGGTGAAGGGACGAGACTGTCTGGTAGGACAGCGCTGGCCTACCAGACAGTCTCGTCCCTTCACCTGCGGCCTTCATCAGGTCCTACCAGACAGTCTCGTCCCTTCACCTGATGAAGGCCGCTTGTGTTGTGGCCGAAACGTCGTGAGAATATTATTGTGTTATTTTATTTTATCAATTTATTATTTTATTCTCATTCTACGTGACTTTACCGAAAGAACCAAAGAAGATGAATCATTGCAGTCACGAAAGCTTGAAATCGAAACGCAATAACACATTTAGTTTTAAATAACAATGTCAATGTATGTAAAGATAGTGCCAGTGTCAAAAAGTTGACATCACGCTTCTAGTTGTGCAAGTGACGACCTCTGGTGTTGAAGGCATTGGTGATAAGATACGGAAAATTGCTTCTAAAACCCCTTACTTTAAACATAACTTAGTGGTAAAATGTTAAGCTCCATTAACAATGCAAACGTCACGCTACCGTTATTGCGTAAAACATCAATGTACAGTACAGTTAATGCAATTCAAAACCCATTAATCGTAAGTTGGGCGTAATTTTTATTATCATTTATATGTCGATAAAGGCCTCAATGAGCCAAGAGACGTTTCCAGGAGAGTCTTGCATTGGGATGTTTGGCAAAATGCATTCTGATTAATATTGACATCAACATAAACCACAAACAGATGCGGTGAATGCGTGTTGCAAGTTTCAGCAATAGCAGCGATACCTACGACATTGATACTCTCAATGTGCTGAAGTATGTTACACGAGTACTGTACATGCACCCTACAGCTCTTATGTAATTTGCCTTTTCATAGACATCGCAGTAACTTCTAAAGTGGGCTTAAGCGGTAAAACGTCAGCGTATTGCGGTTTGAGTTGTGTATACTTAAACACAACAGTCGTATTTCACTATTTACAACACTACTTTTCGCAATAGGCTTGTGACCATTTGTGCTAATAATTACTGAGGTTTGCTACACAGCGATTGCGTTGTAGTGGGAGACGGGTCAGGCCTACACCGACGTGGTGCCTACGGCTTAGCCGGAAACGGGCGACCAAACTCCGCGGGAGAACTAGGCAAGAATGCGCGCCGCTATTCCTCCCCACCCCAAAAAACAATTCGCCATTTGGACGCATCGATCAAAATTCGAATGAATAATGAAAATCTCAGCGACTTCACCAGAGCGCGCATCCCAAGAGCTCCTCGAGGTGGACGAGCGCGCCCGCCGTGGCTCCCCAGGAGATGATCGTTGACTCCATCATCGTCGCCGTTTCTTAAAATGTGACATTCGCGCCAAAACCCCCGCAGAACGACGTCACCCCATGTATTACATGACGTCATTTTACACATGCGCAGTGGCGTCATATCGTCACTTTGACCTCTGAGCAAATACACTCTGGTACACAATTTTTGTTCCTGGGTAGTAAGTGTTATTTCCGAATTGCTTATGCCTAAAAAGCATAGAAAATGATTATTATTCCCCACAAACTTTGCTTTTGTGACCAGGACAGTGATATTTTGAAATTTACCTATCTTCAATGAGAAAACGGGCGAATTTGTGTCTTTTCGTTCACATAAAGTCAGAAAAAACAAAAGATTTAGAAGTGAGTAGTTTGTCGAGATTTACGATTATACTGTAAATCACTTTCACGAATCAGCCCCCAAATGTCGACTCCCATCATGTTCTCGTTCTACTGTCCTTGGTAGCGGCGTTCAAAGTCCAGTCTATCCTGGTGGAAGCACTCGCCTTGCTCCTCCGAGTACGCTCCCATGTTCCCCTTGAATTTATCAAGATGAGCATCAAGGATATGGACTTTGAGGGACATCCTAGAGCCCATTGTGCCGTAGTTCTTCACCAGAGTCTCAACCAGCTCCACGTAGTTTTCGACCTTGTGATTGCCCAGGAAGCCACGAACCACTGCGACAAAGCTGTTCCAAGCCGCTTTCTCCTTACTAGTGAGCTTCTTGGGGAATTCATTGCACTCCAGGATCTTCTTTATCTGTGGTCCGCCAAAGACACCAGCTTTGACCTTTGCCTCAGACAGCTTAGGGAAGAAGTCTTGAAGGTACTTGAAGGCTGCCGACTCCTTATCTCCAGCTCTGATAAATTGTTTCATAAGGCCCAATGTGATGTGCAGTGGTGGCATCAGCACCTTCCGGGGGTCCACCAGTGGCTCCCACTTGACGTTGTTCCTCCCCACAGAGAACTCGGTCCGCTGTGGCCAGTCCCGCCTGTGGTAGTGCGCCTTGGTGTCCCTGCTGTCCCAAAGGCAAAGATGCAGGGCAACTTGCTAAAACCGCCTTGGAGACCCATCAGGAATGCCGCCATTTTGAAGTCTCCGATGACCTCCCAGCCATACTCATCATACTTCAAGGCATACAGTAAGGTCTTCATGCTGTTGTAATCATCATTTAGGTGCACCGAGTGAGCCAGGGGAAGAGACGGGTACTTGTTACAATTATGGAGCAGCACGGCTTTGAGGATCCTGGATGAGCTGTCAATGAAGAGGCGCCACTCATTCTGGTTACATGCGATTCCGATTGCCTCGAACAGACTAGTCACATTGTGGCAGAAGCAGAGCCCATCTTGACGGGTGAAGAAGCTGCAGTAATAAGGTTGGTGACGCTTCCTCTGATCTGTGACTTGCACACTTTGCTTGAGACTAGACGTCAAAAGCTCGCATTGGACTTGTTGAGACCAAGATCTCTGATCAAGTCGTTGAGGTATTTTTGGTTGGGGTAGTATGGGTTTCTCTCCTCAGCTCCACCTCTGAAATTGTCATCTGGATCTACAACGTCTTCCTCGCTCTCTGACTTGCTGCTCTCTTCTAAAGACGGCTGCTCTCTCTCCGGAGGAGTGGGTACAGGGAGCTCATGGCAGTGTGGCACTGGGGGGATGGATGAAGGAAGGTCTGGATACGTGATAGCAGGTGCATTCTTGCCAGTCCGACGTTTGGAAGGGTCCACCATGTAGAAGTAGCAGTTGCTTGAGTGGTCAGTGGGTTCCTGCCAAATTCCTGGGATAGCGAACTTTATGCCTCTCTTTTCCCCTCTGTACCATCCTACAAAATAAATTTATTTCACCCATGGCTAATGTGTAAGAGATTACATCTTGACTTTCGTGACTGCAGGAATTCATATTCTTTGGGTCTTTCGGTAAGTCACGTAGATAGGTAAAAAAAGTAAAAAGTAAACAAAAAACTATGATCGCAACATCAGGTGTAAAAAAGGGGGAAACAGTTTTAAAGATTTATAATGGGCGTAGCCCAAGCGTCCTGGTATCAGAACGAAGTGGGCGGGGTACAAGTGCCCTGGGGCCAGCACAAGCGGTAATGGTTATGTTAATTAACAACTTGTTGTAGCCCAAGCGTCCTGGTATCAGAACGAAGTGGGCGGGCTACAAGTGCCCTGGGGCCAGCGCCGGCGGTGATGGTTATGTTAATTAACAACTTGTTGTAGCCCAAGCGTCCTGGTATCAGAACGAAGTGGGCGGGCTACAAGTGCCCTGGGGCCAGCACAAGCGGTGATGGTTATGTTAATTAACAATTTGTTGTAACCCAAGTGTCCTGGTATCAGAACGAAGTGGGCGGGGCACAAGTGCCCTGGGACCAGCACAAGCGGTGATGGTTATGTGAATGTGAGATCGGAGAGCAAGAAAAGGGTAGACGCACGAGCCGTGGAGAATTGAACAACTTGTGGTACGCCCAATGCAAGGGCGACACCGCAGGGACTGGAATTGTTTGTCCCATCTTTAGTAAAATAAAACTAACATCGGAAGGTGACAAGGTGGAAACATCACAGCCAGTTATGACTTAAACTGGTTGATGACGTCCTTCCAATGATCGCTGAGTTTGTACCCATCCTCTCGGTTGAAATTGTGTCTGTAAATATGGATGGCTTCATGAACGAATCACTGTTGATAGCCAGTGGGCTTGCAAAGTACCTTCGTCTTAGAGAAATAAATTTCGTGAGCCAACCGCATTAAAACAATGATCAGCCACGGCTGAAGTGTTGGGGTCCTCCCGTGTTTAAAATCTGCCTTATGTGCACGACGAACACGGTAATCATTGGATGTCATCAACCAGTTTAAGTAATAACTGGCTGTGATGTTTCCATCTACTCAATTCTAAATCTCTTGTAGTCATTTTTTATTTACTTAAGTATAAATACATGTTAATTTTGATTCACGTCGATTTTTTCTGACTTTGTGAACTAAGACACAAAGTCACCCGTTTGATGATTGAAAATATGTAAATTTCTAAATATCACTGTCCTGGTCACAAAAGCAGAGTTTGTGGGGAATAGCCATTTTCCGTACTTTTGAGGCATAAGCAATTAGGACATAACCCTTACTACCCAGGAACTAAAAACAATTGTTACAGTGTTATCACCAGGAATGAACCAAGCCAAGCAAGCCTGGATAGTTCGTGGATGAATGGATAACCGACCACCATGCGTAACAGGTTGTTACAGGTTACTACAGGGCTACGAAGTGGGCAGCAGAGGCTAATTCAGCAAAGTCCATTGTTGTGCTGCAATTATGTCCCCATGTCTATGCTGTGCACCTTCATCAAGCCGCACTGACCAGCGTCCCGGTAAACATGCAACGCTGGGCATGTGATTGGAACCGTTGAGCCAACGTTGGGCCAACGTTCTCTATTCACTAAGGTGAAGAATGGTCAAATAACATTTCACTACCTGCACAACGTGGGGTGGGCCTCATCCAGCAGTGGATTGACAACAGGGGTGCACATGCATATTAAACTTGTGCAATTAACACCAAATTTGGGGTTGGTGGTAATTACTATCACGTTAGTTCAAACGTCACTTTGCCTTGTGCACAAACATAAACGCAAACGTTAAAAACACTATTTAAAGCATAAGTAGGAAAGCATTAAACAAGTGTGACGATATTTGAAGTTTTGTTCACTTTTATTTTAAAGTCGGTATTACAGTTCCAGTCAAAAAAAGAGTCTATATGATAAGACAGAAAACTTGAAAAAGGCAGATTTTTTTTGTATATAAAATCTACAATTACGGTATTATCAAAATCTCAGTAAAATGTATGCAAAGCCCTCAGACAAAATACCAACATTCTGAAAAGCCATACACATCAAATGAAACACTTGCTGAAAGGGCAGAGATCTTCAAAGAATTAACACATTTCAAATAAATGGAAAACTGTTCTGGCTTTATTTACTGTATATACAAATGCCCACATATTTCAGAAGCCCTGAATCCATGTTCAAAGATCTGTTCGTGTGGCAATTCCTGTAGATTTTGTCAAAAGTTAAGCTCCGTATACAACTCACCCAAGAAGCAAAACAGCGTCCACTAAGATGTCAGTTTTAATAAGCTAAATGAAGACAGAAAATTCACATCTACAATGTGAAGACTCACAATTGATCTTAAGTTTCATGAGCACAGTGAAAATGGCAATAAAACATTTCGATTACATAATACAAAAAGCAGGGCCTTACTTGTGTTTAGAAAATTAACTGAAACGCAGCCAATGGGAGTTGCTGACAGCTTCTTAAAAGTGTTCATTCAAACTTGCAAAGGAAAACACACCTTGCGTCCAAACCTTGCAATGTCAGACACAAAAATGCAGTCCCTTTATTTAAGCCAACAACGAAGTGAATGAAATATTCCAATATGACCCCCTACGTTTTGGGTCAGGCCATGTATACGTTTTATGCCAAAATTCTTGTCATTAACCCCGATCACGTTTAAAAGATGACCTTTTCCAATGCATAGATGACATTCTATTACAGTTATGCTTCTAAATAAAAATTTACTCAAATATTCTTAACAATTTGGATTTATAATGGAATTACACGTTTGTGCACCATTCATCAGATGAGAAAACCACCTAAGTTTGGTTCACTTTTATTTTAAAGTCAACAGATGAGAAAACCACAAGTGGGGAGATAATGCAGGGCTTTAAAAGTAGGCAGTGTAAATGTTCATAGATGAACCAAGACTGAGATTTTAAATGTAACAACTGATGCATAAAAATGGAACACGGAATTTTCATATCTGAACATGCCGCTGTTGAAACTGATGCCATTCTGTTGTGAGCAATACATTTTGAGGGTTCAATTTTTAAGACTGGTTATTTAGTATTAGAATATTGCCACAGCCAACCTTTGTGATTGTTGGTACAAGCCTTTCTTAAAATAATGGAAGTGACCAGCCTCCATTTACTTAAAAAGGAAGATATTAAACATAACGCTGTTATTGCCTAAAGCTACAGCTGCAGCCAGGTCATTGAATGAGTGAGGTCTGGAGTGATTTGTGATAGGAGAAATTTCTTACTGAACGGACACACCTGTACCTTACAAGCGCCTTAATTTCCTAAAAGCGAGCCTTAACAGTAACAGACTTGTTGTAAAATGTAACCTTTAGTTATTTATTTTACGTTTCTTACATATCAGCATGCAAGTATTCAAACATGTTTCTATATCTTACAATCACATTACATTTTTAATAAAATGATAACACCAATATTTTTCCTTTTTTTGTATGTATAAAACTGAGGAACGCCTAACATGTTGACACCACCTACTGTGCTACCACTTTTACGTACAGGTCAGGAAAAATATGTGCAAGGTGACTTGCCCCACACACAAAACGATTTTGCAAAGATTTAAAAAATCTTAAAAAATATTTATAAACATGGCCCTTGCTTTAAACAAAAATAAGTAATAGTTCATGTTTTTGTTTTATTTAAACAGGTAGCGAATATAAAGAGTTGTTTTGCTTGGTCAGGTGATTTTTACTTCTAATGATAAAACAATAAAAAACACATTGGCCCATTATCATAAGCTAAATTAGATGTGAATAACTATTGTGGTTCCACCCACATTTCAACGGAGGGACCAATGATACAAATTACACTGTTTAAAAAAACGAGCTGAACTTATTTACCGAAAATATTTACACATGTAAAATAAATGTGCAACAAAAAATACAAATTAAGTAACAATGTAAATGACCATCTGCAAGCAACAACCAAGTGATAAAGGAAATACTCTGGACTGATGTATGGTCAAAAACTTGTTGTGAAGCTCGTGTATTTTACTTTCAAAATGAGTTTTCCTTGTTTTGTTAGCTTGAAAAAAAGCTTCACAGTCCTTACAAACAAAAGCGAAGGGGAATGAAAACAATTACAAAAACACAGCTACAATTTAACCTGATTGTTTTATGAATTTCAATTAACGTATACCAGGTGGTGTTAATCGGTAACACAGACGTACCTGCATGCTATACACGCTCTAGGAAATCACCAATTCGCCTTTTCGCTTAAATGTAAAATGGAAACAAATTCCATTTTGATCTACAGTATTTTAACTTAAAGAAGCCTGCGGGCAGGCAGGACTTGACACTGAACCTTTCGCATACTTGGTGGATAATAAACCTTCACCCAGTATGGTGCATCAGCCGCCAGCTCACTTAACAGATTTCAGCCATGCATGATGACAAATGTATAATGACGTGTCTTGGTCAGGCCTTCCCTTCACCAACACACCACAAACTTTTAATCATGCCACTGTCTCATGTATTTCAAACACAATGCAGCACTTTCTTCCTATGTAACAATCTTTGACGTTATTAGGCGAAATTAAAAATGTAAAATTGCGATGGCCAAGATATACGATGATAGACGCTAAGATAACTTATCTATGATGTTCAAAGAGGGATGTTGGACATCTTAGTGAAGGCACCCTACCCCTACCCCGACTGTCCCCACCCACCACGGCACAACCCCTCCAGTCCTTCCACAACCCCCCCACCACTTCCCAAACCCAGCCTAAGCTTTGTGTCTGGAGGAAAGGGGCAGGGCCTAAAGAAGGGGTGGGTCCTGTAAAGGAAAGGCGTGAAACTAAACGAGGAAGAGCTGGGGCCTAAATAGAAAGAGGTTGGGCCCTCAGGAGTAAGGGGGCATAACGAGGAAGGGCATGACCCTGAAGAGGCAGTTCCCCTGCAGAGGTTTAACTCCCAATTTAATATAAGCGTAGAGTAAAATACCTCCATCAGGCACCATACCTTTCGTGCCACAGATGCAGCCAGAGGCCAACTAGTCATGTGTAAAAGGTTTTGGGGGATTATTTCTCCCTATTGACCATAAATAAAAGACTAATGACAATGGCCGCAATTGGGTACCCATTCTATAAATTACCCCTTAAACATAGGCATCTGGTCATGTTGCCGGACTTTGCTGTCCTGTAGCATTGCCAAAACCAATTGAAACATGGCGAGTAAAATAAAGTGACATTTAAGTGATGCTCCACATGAGACAAGAATTAAACCACCTGATCAGTTACATTTATTGAAGTTCATTTTGTTACTATGAGGAGCACCGCTGCCAGGAATGACATTTTGGCCAACATTTCTGGGTTCAGTCAGAGTCCGAATCGGATCCCTCTTCGGACGATGATTCGCTGTCACTGCTGTTGTTGTTGCCTTCCTCCCCATCTTCTTCATCATCGTCTTCATTCTAGAGTACAAACACACACACACACGACAGAGAACATGAAGCAAAAGCACACATTTGACGTACAAGAGCACGACTTGGGTAAAAGTGAAAAATGTCTACCTCATCGTCATCATCATCATCTTCATCGTCATCATCATCATCACTGTCATTATCTCCCTCTGAAGACTCCTCCTGGCCATCCCCTTCCTCCTCATCATCGTCTTCATCTTCTGATGACTCCTCATCATCTTCATCCTCCTGTATCAAATACAAGTGATTAACTCAGTGCATAGGTCACAAATGCACTGTGGCTACAAACTCGAAGGCCACTTTAGCTGACCTAAAGTTCACTGCCTTAAGTGTCCATAGTAACTCCTCCAAGCAGGGGCGGAGCCAGGGGGGGTGACAGGGGTGACATTCTGCGTATAAGTGTACGACACTCGGTCTGGCAGACTCCGTGCAACTGCAATGTCAGAGTGTGTCGCCAACCGATGGCGTCTAGTTCAACAGCCTGACTCTCTAATCATTCTTCAAATAAAAATTTGTTGAATGTCACCCCGGCCTGAAATCCTGGCTCCGCCCCTGCCTCCAAGCATAGTAAGCTCATGCACACAGTAACCATGTCCTAAAAGTTGACATGTGACCTCCCTGCAGGTAATTATAATAAAATATAATAAAACAGCTGCCAAATATTAGGGTGCCAACTTCCCACTCTTGTGGATGCTGGGGACTGCCAGAGAATAGGGTGGGGAATGAGGTGAGAAAGGTAAAAATGTTGCCAAAATAGGGCTAGAAACAAATGTGGCAAGTACACATTATTTTACTTGTTATCATTAAGTATGTGCAACTTCGTTGTTAAAATAAATAAATAGTCCAGTAACGATATACAACAAGGTTAACAAAGTACCATGATGGCCAGAATATACAGGGTGATGGTGTCTGAGCCTTGAATATGGTGGATCACAGCAATGTAGTGAAAGGCACCCAAGAAGGTTACTTACAGACTCCTCTTGATCTTTCTTCGATTTTTTGTTCGCCGGTTTTGCTTTTGCGGTTACGGCTGAGGGCTTTGCTGAACCTCTTCGCTTCTTTATAAGGAAAGCAAATCACAAACGAAAGCAAAACACATAACACAAGATGAAAAGAACATGACAAACTACATCTTGTGTGACTTACTGCAGTATGTACCTGACCAAAATGTTATCAAATAATGACTCTTCCAACCATTTTCAAAGTAAAGGGTAACATCAAATACTTACATTTGTGACGAACTCCTTGTACAGGGCTTTATCAGCTGCGGGCAGCGTCTAGAACCAAAATAACAGTTTATTTGTTATAATTCGATAAGTTCTCAACGTAACTGCTTTCACAATCCAAAATTGTAAACATGTATCAAATTATCAATAGTGCAGTTTTAGCTGTTTCCAGTTAATATTTTTTGAGGTGCTTTTATTTGGCAGATCAGTGAGAATGCCGAAGCAATTCTCCCAACACTGACACAATATTATTATACTATTAAAATGTCAGTGGATTACGGGCACTACCTTTATCCAGGCCTCGAGCTGAGCCTTGTACTTCTTTTGAGCCTCCTCTGCCAGTTGCTTGTAGCGGTCCTTCTGCCCCTGGCCAATTTTCTGCCAGCGACGGCCGATCTCCATCATGCGCTCACGCAGGGTGATGTGCGACAGCTCCCCGTTGGACAGCAGCTGCTGTGAGAACATCTGGTAGCCACTCCTGCACATGGCAGACAAGTTTGCACGTGGCTCATTAGCGCCGAGTCTCACTTGGTGGCAGCAGATACTGAAATAAACGGTATTCCCGAAAGGGAAAGGAGCAGAAAAATTCAGTCGAGATGGTGGCTGGAAATGACTTACGTTGGTGGCTTCTTGGGTTCCCCCTCAAAGTGAGCCTTCTTTACAGGGGCGGTTTTCATTTCAGCAACTTGTTTCTGTTGATAAACAGTCACTTCATTTAAACCCGTTCAAAAATACATACCTCTTTTGCATTGACCAGTGTGGTCAAACAAACTCCATGGCCAATACGGTGTCCGGGAGGGTCTTCATGCAGTAGTAGACTCACAAAATTGTAAAATAAATACCTGGACCGTCGACAACCTTTCAGGTAAACATTCAAGGATTTTTAGAAAACATCCGGCGTTATGCAAAGGGAAGCTTATTTGTCAGGATTATCAAGACTACGTAACCACTGGACAAATCCAGCCCTCACACATCTAATGTAGTCCATGGCGTCACTCCTACTATTAATAGCGGTTTCCCCCCGCAGCTTTGAAATGTAATTAACAAAGTTAATTATTTCACTTGACTGTCGAAAATAACAAATCCGCTAATAGGTTGTGTAAAATAATAGGCTCTGTCGTGATGTGACGTGGGTATGTGGGGGTGAAATGGGTGGGAGCCTTGGAAGCTGGAACCACGAGATTCATCCATTTACTGTGCATCACTCTCCTCTTGCTTGCGTCTGCTGATCACATCGTTTACTATCTCCATCTTCTGAATATATCTCTCTTCTCTCATCTCCGATCTCTCATATCTCTCCTCTGAATATACCTATCTCTGTCATATCTCCCATCTGAATATATTCTGAGCTCTCATAAGTCTATTCTGAACAAATCTTTCCAATAACTTCTCTCTTCTGAATGTGCCTTTCTTACAACACTGTTGAATAAAGAGTTCTAGCTCATATTTCTCCTCCGATTAAATCTGTCAAATAATTCTCAAATCTCTCTTCTAAATGTTTTCTCCTCTATATATGTTATATTTCTACTAAACTATCTCGTATGTCTCTCTTTTCAACATTTTTCCTCTCTTATGAATACATCGTTAACCCATCTTGATGCTATTTATTGTTTTAATGTACGTGGTCCCCAGCTGTCACTGTACATCAATGTGATGCTCAAAGGAAAGTCTGGAGACTTGCATCTACTCGTGATAATACTGCATTGAAAGTGGTGCACAAGTACAAATAACAAAAACTCATACTTGTCAATAACACTGCCTTAAAAAAACAGGTACATAACAGATGATATTTCAGGCAATGGCTCTCCTCCTTCACAGCACACAGGGAGAACCGGAGAGGCAGAGTCACTGTCTCACTCCACCACTCTGGCATGACTATGTCCTGTTAAGAAGGGTCAATGACCAACATGCCACCTATTATATATTATTATATACTTTTTTTTTGAGCCATTGTTATTGACAAATGCGTTGAGTTTTTTTTCCATATATATTCGGACTTACATCATATCGCTTCTGGCTCTCAGCTGCTGCCTTGATCCAGGGCATCTTCTGCTTCTTCTCAAGAGCCTTCCACTCCACCTCAAGTGCCCGAGTCGTCTTCTTTTGGTCATTCTACCACAAGCCATTTAAAAACATCAACAGGGCATTTTTTTATTTAAAAAAATCTGCCACAGTCTCTTGCGATCCCTTTGAGCTTCAAGAACTTGGAAATCATATTTTGGCTTATTTGGCAAGTAATTGATTGTTGGATGACATGTTTGTTCATATTTTCCATTAAAATAATTATCTTTAACCCGCGGGGTATACCACTTTTTACAAACAAAACAAGACCCTGCGGGGTATATGGAGGTGCGGGCTATCCCAAAAATATTTTACACGTGTGACATGTCATAACTTGTTTAATTTTTTCATGGTAGGACTATCCACTCACGTTATCACGTTAAAATGAATTGTTTGAACAATTAAACGACAATGTTTGAAGTGCGCGCACTGTTTACCGGCAACGGGAGAGCTGGGGGGAGAGAGAGGTGGGGGGTTGGGGGGTGGGGCAGCTGGGGGGAGTGAGAGGTGGGGGTAGCTGGGGGGAGAGAGAGGTGGGGGGTTGGGGGGTGGGGTAGCTGGGGGGAGAGAGGTGGGGGTTTGGGCAGCTGGGGGGAGAGAGAGGTGGGGGTTGGGGGTTGGGGCAGCTGGGGGGAGAGAGAGGTGGGGGTTGGGGGGTGGGGCAGCTGGGGGGAGAGATGTGGGGGGTTGGGTGTTGGGCAGCTGGGGAGAGAGAGGTGGGGGTTGGGGGGGTGGGGTAGCTGGGGGGAGAGAGAGGTGGGGGGTTGGGGGGTTGGGCAGCTGGGGAGAGAGGTGGGGGGTTGGGCAGCTGGGGAGAGAGAGGTGGGGGTTGGGGGGTGGGGCAGCTGGGGAGAGAGAGGTGGGGGTTGGGGCAGCTGGGGGAAGAGAGAGGTGGGGGTTGGGAAGTGGGGTAGCTGGGGGGAGAGAGAGGTGGGGGTTGGGGTAGCTGGGGGGGAGAGAGAGGTGGGGGTTGGGGGGTTGGGCAGCTGGGGAGAGAGAGGTGGGGGTTGGGGCAGCTGGGGGGAGAGGTGGGGGTTGGGAGGTGGGGTAGCTGGGGGGATAGAGAGGTGGGGGGTTGGGTAGCTGGGGGGAGAGAGAGGTGGGGGGTTGGGGGTGGGGTAGCTGGGGGGAGAGAGAGGTGGGGGTTGGGGCAGCTGGGGGGAGAGAGAGGTGGGGGTTGGGGGGTGGGGTAGCTGGGGGGAGAGAGAGGTGGGGGGTTGGGGTAGCTGGGGGGAGAGAGAGGTGGGGGTTGGGGGGTGGGGTAGCTGGGGGGAGAGAGAGGTGGGGGTTGGGGCAGCTGGGGGGAGAGAGATGTGGGGGGTTGGAGGGTGGGGTAGCTGGGGGGAGGGAGAGGTGGGGGTTGGGGCAGCTGGGGGGAGAGAGAGGTGGGGGTTGGGGCAGCTGGGGGGAGAGAGAGGTGGGGGTTGGGGCAGCTGGGGGGAGAGAGAGGTGGGGGGTTGGGGGGTGGGGTAGCTGGGGGGAGGGAGAGGTGGGGTGGGGCAGTTGGAGGAGAGGTGGGGGGTTGGGGAGAGGCAACGGCGTTACCAAAGCGCCGCTAATATCTGCGCAGTGCGCGATCTACCAGTGCTAAAACTTTACTTATCTACCAGTTGCGTTACTTATTTATTAGATATTTACTTTTGTTACTTATTTACTGTTTTAAGTTCACTCGTTTCCGGTTAGTTTGTTTTATTTGTGCATATTATGATTTGAATGTTAACAACTGATAGTGGAATGTATTACAAATGTAAACTTCGTATTGATGGAATTAAGCTGCGGTAACGACGTTAAATATATGAATGCATGCGGGGTATATGGAGGTGCGGGCTATCTGAAATTTGTTTTACACAAAACGCTATTTTTGCGGGGTATATGCGTCTGCGGGTTATATGCGTATGCGGGCTATATGCGGGAAAATACGGTATATTCCAACAGTAACATTTAAGCCGCATGATGAGGAAACGAAATTACCACTTAGAACTCTCGCAGCAAACAGATGACCATCCTGTTTGACAGACAAGACCAGGACGATGACATCACCGAACTACTTCTGAAGTCACTTCAATGCACCTCTTCTGGATGATATATTTTGTGCATTATTCCCATTGTGTAATTGTTTACCCAGGAAAGGCTCAGAGTCTCAAGACTGTTCCAAAAGGGCCCTGCCAAGCGTTTGCAGGAGGTGACGTTGCCGTATAATCCCAATAGAGTATTTTGCAAGTGAACTTTTTGCACGTTAGGATGTTTGTCCATTACTAGTTCCAGTGAGGGAAAAAAAGTGTTTGATCCCCTGCTGATTTTGTACAATTGCCCACTGACAAAGAAATGATCAGTCTATAATTTTAATGGTAGGTTTATTTGAACAGTGAGACAGAATAACAACAAAATCCAGAAAAACGCATGCCAAATATGTTATAAATTTATTTCCATTGCAATGAGGGAAATAAGTATTTGACCCCCTCTCAATCAGAAAGACTGCTGGCTCCCAGGTGTCTTTTATACAGGTAACGAGCTGAGATTAGGAGCACACTCTTAAATGGAGTGCTCCTAATATCAGCTTGTTACCTGTATAAAAGACACCTGTCCATAGAAGCAATCAATCAATCAGATTCCAAACTCTCCACCATGGCCAAGACCAAAGAGCTCTCCAATGATGTCACGGACAAGATTGTAAACCTACACAAGGCTGGCATGGGCTACAAGACCACTGCCAAGCAGCTTGGTGAGAAGGTGACAACAGTTGGTGCGATTATTCGCAAATGGAAGAACCACAAAAGAACTGTCAATCTCCCTCGGCCTGGGGCTCCATGCAAGATCTCACCTCGTGGAGTTGCAATGATCATGAGAACGGTGAGGAATCAGCCCAGAACTACACGGAAGGATCTTGTCAATGATCTCAAGGCAGCTGGGACCATAGTCACCAAGAAAACAATTGGTAACACACTACGCCGTGAAGAACTGAAATCCTGCAGCGCCCGCAAGGTCCCCCTGCTCAAGAAAGCACATATACATGGCCGTCTGAAGTTTGCTAATGAACATCTGAATGATTCAGAGGACAACTGGGTGAAAGTAAAATAATAAAATAAAATAAGACAATAAAATTCTCACGACGTTTCAGGCCACAACACAAGTAGCCTTCATCAGGTGAAAGAACAGAACTGTCGGGACGACAGTGCTCCAATGAGTGTTGTTAAGATTCGTAGCGTCTTTTTAAGCTCGGTGAGAGGCGTGAACCTCTTGACAAAGGAGTTTTAGTATCAAAGCAGGATAATTTAGCATTGAAATAGCTGAGGGATTGGCTTGTGACAGAAATAGCCATGTTAAAGTCAGAGTTTACCTATCAACAGAGACATTTAGTATATGGACGCTAAAGGCCTCCAACTACCCAACTTTCATACAGTAAACCGATGTGAAAAGAACTAAGTCTATATTACATAATATAATAAATGTAAATTTTGATTTAAAGCTTTTGTGACTGCAGTAATTCATATTCTTAGTTTTTTCGGTAAAGTCACGTTGAAGAGAAACAACAAAATAACAAAATATATATAAAACAATAAAAAATTCTCACGACGTTTCGACCATAACTCAAACGGTCATCATCAGGTGTGTCGGTTTGCATAAATTTATTTTGAAAACGGCATATTTATTTATTTATATATAAAAAAATAACGTTTGCGTCACGCGCAGCGATTGGCAGTTTGCCCAGGACTAGTCCATCTATTTTTTGAAAAGGGGAGGGGGGAGACGAAATTTGTTTTTATGTATGCTGTCTGAAAGCCACTGTAAGCGTGAACAATCAATCAAGAACTGAAATGATTTATCAAATCTTTCCAATGATTGCTAAGATAGAATCCATCTTCTCGGTTGAAATTGTCTCTGTGCTTGTATATGTGGATAGCCTCATGAACGAATCTCTCATGGAAGCCAGATGGCTTACAAAGAACCTCCGTCTTGGAAAAGTCAATGGCATGTGAGCCTACTGAATTAGAACAATGATCTGCTACGGCCGAGGTGTTGTTCACGCTTACAGTGGCTTTCAGACAGCATACATAAAAACAAATTTCGTCTCCCCCCTCCTCTTTTCAAAAAATAGATGGACTAGTCCTGGGCAAACTGCCAATTGCTGCGCGTGACGCAAACGTTATTTTTTATATATATATAAATAAATATGCCGTTTTCAAAATAAATTTATGCAAACCGACACACCTGATGATGACCGTTTGAGTTATGGTCGAAACGTCGTGAGAATTTTTTATTGTTTTATATATATTTTGTTATTTTGTTGTTTCTCTTCAACGTGACTTTACCGAAAAAACTAAGAATATGAATTACTGCAGTCACGAAAGCTTTAAATCAAAATTTAATCGCCTCTACGGGGAGGGTTTTCACATAACTTTAAGATCCTTCAACAAACTCCGGGATAAGAAAGCTCAGCTGATCGAGTCTCTCACCTTCCTGAAGAGATGCCGCGACTCTGGGGTAATACCAATCGCATTTACACTCACCTCTGCTACTGTAACTTCTTCTAATGCGAAACGAATTCTTTACAAAACTAGCTTAGCTCTTATCTCAGAAAAAATCAGACTTATACGCACAGAACTAGATCAGTTAGACAAGACACTCTACAAATCACACTTATCATTGACGGCAATAATGTCCACATCGGATTGGGAACATGTAGACAATATGACTGCCTCTTCAGCTGCTACTATGTCGACCAAATGTAAGGAAAACCTGATTTCCAAATTTAACCTCCTCTTCAACAAAAGACCGGACCCACACACCAAAAAGTTAGACGTTAATAAAGTCGTAATTAATCGCAGTAACAGTTCTATTTCCGATGGTCTGAAATCCGTTTTAGCTAAAGGTCTAAACTTTGCAGTCACACCTAAACACATACCAGTTAATGATATAATTGCCCAAGTAGACGTTGCTCTCAGGGGCCTGGGTCACATCGCTGCAGACGTGGCAAGATCTGAAATCGCTGCAACCCTCAAAAACGCTAAGATGCCAGCTAGCAACCTCAGCAAAGATGAGCGTTTTGAATTATATAAATTAAAAAAGAGGAATGATATTGTAGTTCTCTCAGCTGACAAAGGCAATGCTACTGTCATCATGGATAAAATAGAATACAACAACAAAATTAAAGAATTACTCGACGATGGTAGTTATACAAAAATAAAAAGAGATCCCACCAACAGCCTCGTCACACAAACCAACAAAATAATTTCTGATTCAACCGCATTAATTGATCAATCTAAACAGTTTTCGTTGAAACCTTCTGCTGCCAGGCCACCAAGATTATACGGCTTACCAAAAATACATAAAGTTGATACACCTCTTCGTCCCATAGTCTCTACTATCAGCTCCCCCACCTACAAACTAGCTCGTTTTTTGTCTGAAATCCTGCGTCCTTTCACTGGAAAGACCACCTCTGCGGTACAAAATTCTACTCACCTGGTATCAACAATCAAGGGTATTTCCCTGTCCCCAGACGACCTGCTTGTCAGTTTTGATGTAGTTTCCTTATTCACCAAGGTTCCTGTACCTGACACCATTCCAATCATTGAAGACTTGGTTCATCAAGGACTAAACACTGAGGTACCCCCCCTGGTGAGACACTGTTTAACCAATACATACTTCACTTGGAATGGAACTTTCTACAAACAAACTGAGGGCACCCCAATGGGCTCCCCCCTTTCTCCAGTTATAGCTAACATTTTCATGGAGAAATTTGAGACTGACGCCATCCAGACTGCCACTCTGCGCCCAACCTTATGGAAGAGGTACGTGGATGACACTTTTGTCATCTGGCCACATGGCCGGCCTGCTCTAGACCAATTCTTCGACCACATCAATTCCATACACCCAGCCATCAGATTTACCATGGAAGTCGAAATAGATGGCAAGATACCTTTTTTGGATGTCCTAATTAAAAAGAGACCTGATGGTTCAATGAGCCACTCTGTCTACAGGAAAGCTACCCATACGGATGCTTATCTGAAACCGGATTCCCACCACCATCCATCACAGAAGAATTCTCTCATCAAGACTCTGTATCATAGAGCCCAATGCATATCCGACCAGGAACACATAAGCAGTGAACTCAAGCACGTACACCAAGCTCTTAGGGCTAATGGTTACTCCGACTATACAATCCGCAAAGCTATCACTCAAACCATGAAGAAGAACCCTCTTGAGGAGCCTTTCAAAACCATCACTTTACCCTACATTGCTGGGATCACAAAAAACATCTCCAAAATCTTGAATAAACACAAGATCCAGGTCCGTTTCAACACATTACATAAAATCCGTGATCTGGTTCCGTCTGTAAAAGATGTGATTCCGGACATACAATACCCTGGTGTCTACAAACTAAGTTGCCTCTGTGGTAGTAGTTACATTGGAGAAACCAAACGCCATATCTCGGACCGCATTCGTGAACATAAAGCAGACCTTAAACACGGTAGGACCAACACCTCGGCCGTAGCAGATCATTGTTCTAATTCAGTAGGCTCACATGCCATTGACTTTTCCAAGACGGAGGTTCTTTGTAAGCCATCTGGCTTCCATGAGAGATTCGTTCATGAGGCTATCCACATATACAAGCACAGAGACAATTTCAACCGAGAAGATGGATTCTATCTTAGCAATCATTGGAAAGATTTGATAAATCATTTCAGTTCTTGATTGATTGTTCACGCTTACAGTGGCTTTCAGACAGCATACATAAAAACAAATTTCGTCTCCCCCCTCCTCTTTTCAAAAAATAGATGGACTAGTCCTGGGCAAACTGCCAATCGCTGCGCGTGACGCAAACGTTATTTTTTTTATATATAAATAAATAAATATGCCGTTTTCAAAATAAATTTATGCAAACCGACACACCTGATGATGACCGTTTGAGTTATGGTCGAAACGTCGTGAGAATTTTTTATTGTTTTATATATATTTTGTTATTTTGTTGTTTCTCTTCAACGTGACTTTACCGAAAAAACTAAGAATATAATAAATGTACTTAATATATTCTTCAATAAGCTGGGCTATTAATCACAAAGCATATACTAAATGATATTTGGGTACTTGGAGGCCTTTAGCGTCCATATACTAAATGCCTCTGTTGATAGGCAAACTTTGACTTTAACATAGCTATTTCTGTCACAAGCTAATCCCTCAGCTAATTCAATGCTAAATTCTCCTGCTTTGATACTTAAACTCCTTTGTCAAAAGGTTTCACGCCTCTCACCGAGCTTAAAAAGACGCTACGAATCTTAACACCACTCATTGGAGCACTGTCATCCCGACAGTTCTGTTCTTTCACCTGATGAAAGCTACTTGTGTTGTGGCGGAAACGTCGTGAGAATTTTATTGTCTTATTTTATTTCATTATTTTATTCTCATTCTACGTGACTTTACCGAAAGAACCAAAGAAGACTTGGAGAAGATCTGCAAAGAGGAGTGGGACAAAATTCCTCCTGAGATGTGTGAAAACCTGGTGGCCAATTACAAGAAACGTCTGACCTCTGTGATTGCCAACACGGGTTTTGCCACCAAGTACTAAGTCATGTTTTGCAGAGGGGTCAAATACTTATTTCCCTCATTAAAATGCAAATCAATTTATAATATTTTTGACATGCGTTTTTCTGGATTTTTTTGTTATTCTGTCTCTCATTGTTCAAATAAACATACCATTAAAATTATAGACTGATCATTTCTTTGTCAGTGGGCAAACATACAAAATCAGCAGGGGATCAAATACTTTTTTCCCTCACTGTACATGTTATGTCGTTTATTGTGAAAATTCGGTGACAGTTCCTATGATCACTGTTACATTGCTTTTATGGCTTTCTTTTGGTGATTTCGAAAACGTTTTTTGGTTTAAGTTTTTGTTAAGCTATAGGAGGAAACCGGATCACCCAGTGGAAACCCATGCAGAGAAAGGTGCTCGTGTCAGAAATTAAACCTAGGCCCTTCTTCTTACTGTCACCACTGTGCCACAATACTGCCTAAATACAATTTGAGTTACGACACTGCCCTTACCTTGAAGCGTGCCAGGTACTCGTCCAGCTTGCTCATCTGGAAGAGCTCCTCAGGGGTCTTGGGGGGATCAGGCATGCGGCCACGTCGGGCACTGCTGTTACTGGCAGAATCCTTCTTCTCCTTGAGCTGCGTCTGCATCTTTTGCTCGTAGTCTGCCTTCATGGATGCCTCCAGCTTCTTGTACTTCTCCTGGATTTTTGTACGTTCATGAAACGATGCCAGGAATACAATGAAAACTTGTGTCAATTTGTAGTCCACTGAAATGTTTGGTTCTTAGCTGTGCATTACTTATATACGAATTAATTGTCCTTGATTTTACTAGATGAGATGCCAAAAACACCCATGCAATTTTGGTTTAAGATTGTATTTTCAAGCGAGCCATAAATGCTACGCAAGGCTTCCCTACGAGAACTTTAAAAGGGCACATTTCAACGCCACCTATTGGTTTACCCCTACACAGCTACGCAAAAGTCAATGTACAGGTATATCTCTGGCAATTCTCAACAATGACACCGTGCCTAGAAATGTGCATTAAAATAATAATCATATCGTGAGCATGCATCCACACTAAAGCCAATGTACCTGGTTATACAGCAGCTCACAAGCTCACGGAGCTGCAGCCCAGCTTCACCCCCTTTTACCTTTTTCTTCTCCGAGAGCTCGCTCCAGAGGCGAGCCAGCAGTCGTGTGAGCTCGCTCTCTGGGAGGTCTGGGTTCTTCTTCCTCAGCTTCTTGCGCTTCTCTTGCGAGAAAATGAACATGGCCGAGATGGGGCGTTGAGGCCGATCTACAGCGCTCTGTTGCAACAGCAAACAAGGAAGAAACATCTTGCATATGCGTGGATTCTGTAACACTTTGGAACAAGGGTCCGTACTCTTAAATATTTAATTATCAATAATGTTACACTTAAATCCACACGAGATGTCACACAGCGCATGACGTTGCGAGATGTCACACATAATAATGCCACGGGGAGGCAAGCACATTGATAAAAGTCAACACGCTTTGGCCGAAGAGGTTAATCCATTTTATATGCTGCTTTTATTTCCAATTTTGGGAGAACCCTTTATTTTAGAAAGTTTTCTCAAAGGTAAGTCCTGAATAGCAACACATCATACATAAATATATTTAAATTGGATGTTTAAGAGAGTTAATGTATCTCTCCGCTATAGATACAATACATTAACGTTTTCAACATTAGTTGGAAGAGCTAATAACAGCTACATGCAATTGCTTGCAATTTATTTCAATGAGCGTGACTGCCAGGTGCCTCCTCATGCAGCTGCCGACTCACAGTGGGTCCAGGGGAGTTGGTTATGTCCTTGCCCAAGGCGGCAGCTGTTGCGAGACTTGCCATCTTGCCGCCCTCCTTGGCCCGTTCTTCCATTTGTATTCGCTCGCGCTCCTCGTCAGTCAGGTTCTGCACAATATGGCAAAAAGTCCTTTCAGAAACACTCCATGGGCAACAGGGTTCAATGCAATGTGCTCCAAACTGCATATCCAGCGGTGGATGGGTGCATGACAAGTCAGAACAATGATGTGGCATCGGGTGGGACAGCCGTGTGTGATTAACCCTTTCCCATTCTTATGACGTACATGTATGTGTAAGTCATCGGAGCAGAATCTTAAGAAAAACTAGAAATAAAATAACTTTATCGGTACCATTGCTCCCACAGGGCCATGCGGGAGGGCGTGTGGCAGTTTGGTGTCAGCTATCATAGAGTGCGGTCGTAACACTACAGTTCTCTGCGGATGAGTACAATCTCTTTAAAAACAACGGTGCATTATTCCTCTCTAAATAAAATGAAGCCTGCTTGTCCGTTCTGAGATTCAGCGGTGAACGGGAACCACCCTGCAACTAGCGAATCTATGGTGTCAGTCTGGTGGTAAATCACATTACATTTTTTACTTAATTTGGTTACATTTCAGATGAGAATCAAACATTGGTTTGACTGTTACATGATCAACATTTCTCTATCTAGAATGTGTGGAAGTGCTGTCATGCCACCAAGGATAACAAAAAAAGTAACTGAAGGAATCTCAAAAGTTGTGCGACATCTGCATTCATGGTCCATTCTCCAACCCACAAGGTATGCCGTTGTAAATATGGCAGGAAAACGTCACCGAGGCACGAGGCAATTTCAGAAGCATCCTGCTTCGGGCTGTACAGCTACTTCCTTCAAAAGGGCTATTTTGCATGCGAGAGAAAACCAGAACATCCGGAGAAAACTTATATATATGAGAAAGTAACTCATAAATTAACACAGATAGGTTCACAAACTTTCTTTCCCTACTGTGATTTCTTGGTCACCTCAGTCCCACGGGTGTGACAGTTTTACAAATCTACACGATCCACTAACCCTTGCCTTCAAAGTGTAGAGTATTGTGAGTAACCAATGAGGGGGCGAGATCAGAAGGAAATACGAGCGGGTTGATAGTCAAAAATGACATAACGTCACGGGTTACGCATGTGGCTTTGGAGAGCACCTTAGGGAACATGGGCGGAGCCGAGCTGGGGGGCGGAGCCGAGCTGGGGGGCGGAGCCGCCCAAAGGGTTCTTAAGGGGGACTCCGGGACGGAGGCGGGGTCGTCGTAGGGAGCCAGGGTAAGGATCTGCTAGAAGAGGGTCTCTTTCCTCGTCGCGGAGCGGTGTTGGCTGAAGGCCCACTCCGGGCAGACGAGTAAGAGAGCCCATAGGGTAGCCGAAGGTAGGGGTCCAAATAGTATTCAGTGTCCGGGGTAAAGGACCGAGATAGAGTGCACCTACACTGGTGTGAGTGTAGGATGTCGAGTGTGACAGTGTTTTATTAAACGACAACAGCCCTTAGAGAATTCCTCGTCTCCGCATGGTTTTACTGCACTACAAAAGTGTCAGAATAAAGCACGTACCACCACACCTAGAAAGCAGTTTGGAGACAATGGGTAATCCTTACCTCAACAAATTTCTGAAAATCAATTTCATACTGCTTTTTTTTCTGCAAGAAACAAAGTCACAACACATCAGACAAAGGATTCAAAACTGATATCTACAACGATTTCAAGTCACTCCCAGATTCATATACACAGACAAGGGATATCTCACATTATTTTCATCCTCATGGAAATAAAGGTCAACATGTACAGTGAATGTAATATATATTTTTCATCTCAGTGGAACACAATGGCATAGCTATAGTGTGTTGGCAGTGTTGTAGGTGCATTGAGGCCCACGGAAAGAAGGGGGGCCCAGGCATCTCACCACGGTAGGCGAGGTGTTATCTGCCTCGCCTGGTATGCAAGAGGGTGTGGGTTCGATCCTGACCCCTGTATAGTTGCAGTTTGCATGTTCTCTCCGGGTTTGCCCTCCACAATTAGAAACATGCGCTTAGAGTATTTGGCTGTTATACATTTCCACATGATAATCCACTTCTTTGAGCTAATATTTGTGGCCAGGTCACTTCTGAAAACGAGATCTATAGCTCAGTGGGCCTTATCTCGTAATTAATTTAAATAGTTTCTAGTAGTCGTTGAAAAACAAAGCGGAGAGAAATTGGGACACAAGGCCTGGTATAATTTCTTGTACCTGGGCCCATGCCAACCATACTACGTCACTGCACAGGTGTCATCGCACACTTTTAAGCCCGATAGCAGCAGGCCTAACTGCACAGGAGTACGGCGCTGTTAAAAATGATCGACAGGGCTGTGGTTCGCAGGTCTCACCTGCTCGCAGCGCTTGTGGTATGCATCCTTCTCCTTGGGCGAGAGCACCTTCCACTGCCGGCTGCACTCATGCATGCGCTCCGTGCTAGGGACATCCTTGAGACTTGCGATCAGCTCCGCGCAGAAGAGGGAGTAGCCGTTCCTGAGTGGGTGAATAAGCAGCAGCAACCACTGTATGCAAAGTTCTCAATAACTTGCAAATGTTTACGTAAGACTATCAGCTAAAATACGTGCAAATGTAGTGTATTAATTGCAGGACAATTGTTGATATTTTTACAAGCTGTAATTTTACATCCAACTCGGTAGTTGTTCCAAGCTTGACATCAGACCTCAAAGTGGCCACTTATTGTGACGTAGGTTATAGTCTGCAAAGTCACTGTCATTTGAACCAAATTTAGTTTACAGCCTACATTAAACTCTTTGCGTGAATAAACAAAATACTAGGTGAATCTCACACCAAGTATATTCAGTGACGCTGGTAGATATTTTCCAAAAATTGGACTGTTGCAGCATGCATTTGTGTAAAATGAAACAAGAGCCCAAGTTGGAGGGGTGGAGAGAGCCCATCTCTAAACCTTTATAAACAGTTTGCCTTTAGAGGCTAACCCCCCTTTTCCTGATGATGACAGCTTGTTTTGCGATCAAAAGGTCGTGCTTTTGTTTTTATTTTATTATATTTAAATTACTGAAAGAACCAAGAATACATCTACATTATAAACTGCCAGTACGCTCACTCATGTTAAAAACCAGGCTACAGTCTACATTAAACTGCCAGTATGCTCACCAAGGTTAAGAACCAGGCTACAGTCTACATTAAAGACTGCCAGTACACTCACTTCGATTAAGAACCAGGCTAGTCGACATTAGTGATTTTCATTATTTTTATTCACTTTATTTTGCATTTTCACGTGACTTTACCGAAAGAACTAAAGAAAATGAATAAGAGTAGATATTGTGGTGGAGAGCTGGCAGGCAGGCGATTGAGTGGGTGAGTGCGTGCTTACGGTGGCGGCTTGGTAGGCCGTCCATCGTGCTTGTCCTTGAGCAGCCACTCAGCCTTGGAGAGGACAGACTTGGCGTCGTTGGGCACATATTCTGGGTGTGTGCATATGTACTCCTTCAGCTCCAACTGGGTAAGGAATGCGGTCAACATGTATATTAGATCATGCCATACGCAGCACACTCACCTACTTTCCATTTCGCCTGCAAGGACCTCGCTACTTGTATATACTATCAGCAAGTGACCACTGATCAACAAAAATTTCCAAGACAAAAACACAAATGACGTTTTACAACCATAATAGTAAACAAATAGGCACACTTATGTATGATAGTATGTTATAAAAAAGTTTTGCTGGCTGGCCACATGCTGCCCGGCGCAAGTTCTGACCGGTTGGAGGCCATGCGCCACCCAGCGTGCAGAGGAGAGCGGGTGCGTGGGTGGGTGTGCATGGTGGGGGACGCAGAATCAAGGGGAAGCAAAGGTGGGGGGTAAGTGCGCGAGGAGGGGCGCAAAATGCGGGTGGTAGGGGTGCCCTGGGGGTTGTTACATGCGAGTGGGGGGCACCCAGGAGTGGGAGAGAACCATCATTCAACGACGGGAACTTTCACTATCATATAAAGAAAAAGGTTTGGCTGGGCTCGCTGGGAGGAGGGAGGGAGGTAGGTGCAGGGCTGCTAATTTTGTAGAAAATTAGCGCGAAATTGTTTTCAGCAGATGGTGAGCGCGCTCAGTGCATCTTTCTCGCTGCTTAGCATGGGGGTTGCTCTAACCGCGTGCTGTCTCTGGAGCTCCAGGGCCTTGGCGATCCACTTGAGCCTCTTCTTATCAGGAAGCACCGACCACTGGCGTCTCAGGGTCTCGTTCACTTCCTTCAGGTTCATCTGAAGCAAAAGAAAGAACAGAAAAAGCGGGTTCTTAATGCAACCCAGACTGGAGCGGTGGTTCAGTGGTTCTTGCTCTGCGCCATCAATCATACACTTATGAATATACATACAGTATCCGATTTATATTCACAGCCATAGCTTATATCAGTGGACAATGATATCTGAACTGGTCCTGAACCTCCCCTTCATCAACCTGCACTGAGCAGTGTGAAGTAGAGTGACAACTCGGACGACCGACAAGGAATGGAGGCATTTATTCAGCCGCGGATTGACAAAATGGGTTGCAATTATTAAAATTAAACCGTTTGCTTGATATACAACATTAGGTATGCAAGTGCTTGGTATGCAACATTTATTTAATGTTGTATCAATTTCAAAGATTCGACAAAAAAGGTGCAAACATGTATGCATGTAAGATTAGAAATTTCTGCAGAAAATTGCGAAAGTTGAATTAAATTTATGACATATATTAACACAGCTAACATTGACATTTTAAAAAGTGTCAAGTGCACAGCCAAATAAGAATATATACATAGCATCATCCTACCTCAACTACTCTCTTAATAATGGAAGGAAAGGATCATTAACGGGACTGCGAGCATTAGGTAAATAACTTTTTAATGCCAGTCTCGTGGTGGCAGCTTTTGGAAGGGCCCAGATGGGTCGCTAGAGACCTCTTATCTCATCATCCATTAACAAAGTGAACCCTAACAAAAGGCTGGCGCGTTTACCTCGGGGTGAAGCTTCATGTAGGCCTTCTTCTCGTGGTGGTACCACAGTTGCTGTGGTGTCTTGGGCTTCTCGGGGACGTCTGACTTGCGCACGGCAACCTCCACCAGGTCTGGGTGCTGCTCCCTGCGAGAACAAGCGGGATGCACATGCACATATCCGGATTCGAGATAAGACACTTACACAAGGCAGCTCTGTAGTCAAGAGACATCACTGCTGCAGACGTTTTAAATCTATTTCTTCCCCATATAAAGGTTCACTACATACCTGATGCGAAGCGTCACAACGAAATTGTGTAAGTTTGACTCTATGGACCCTACTATTGCCACATCTATTATTCTGATACAATAATTATTTAACACCTTTCAGGAAAATATCTACAGTTAAGTGTAGCAAAGTTCATCATAGACGTTTAATGTACACATGACTGCAACATGCATGTTAAAAAAACACACACATTACCATTAATACTGGAGAAATATGCAATGCAGTGACACCAATCTATATATTATATTGTGAGTGGTGCCTCATGATCCATAAAACACACAAACAAGCCCACAGCCACTTTCACAATTATATTTACAAGCAATTGCATTAACAAATAGTCCATGTGCCTAATTATAACGATATTCTCACCTAAACTTGGCCATAGCTTTGTCAAACTCCTCCTTGTCTCGCTGGTAATCTTCCATGTACTTCAGCTGTACAAAACAAAACGAGGACAACATTCAAAATACTAGCTCCATATACCCATGAGCATAAGATATATTGATGAAATACACAGGATATTTCACAGTAAAACTAGGTTCCAGAAATGTCTCTCCCCGCTAAATGACCATGTCGGTTGATGTACTGCAATGTTTAACAATGGACAGCTTAAGCAGCCCAAATCATAGGCTCTCAACGAAGGACATGTATGGATTTGTAAAATTGAAAGGACTTAAGCCTGAGAGGCTTCACTTCAACATTTACTGCCTCATATGACCAAACGGCCTCAGGGCATGGATTATAATGGGGATTCAGCATGAAATGACTTGACTGTAATTGTCTGAGCATAAGAGGCAGGGTGGACACCTACTTTTTGTTGTCTGTCATTTTTTGCATTCGATGGGGGATACCCAACAAGAATCTAGAGTGAGTCCTTTTCAGTCATGTGTAGCTCACTCTCACATTGTGGCTGTTTGACGTGGCACTTATCTTATTAACTTGTATTCATTAGTGTTTAATGTATAGATGTGTTTATGCAGTTGTAAGGGGAATTTCAACCACATATGCAAAATTTTAACCTCAACGTACGACTTTGTTTCCTATTTGATTTCCGGATAATTCACGCAACATTAAACTACACTGCCTCAAGTGAATTGTCGTTTAACTTATATATATTCATTTACTTCTAATTTTCAACTAAGCATCAATGATTACATAGTTCTAATAAGTGCATCCTGATTTGTCCACTTCTGTTTTGCTTTGCCGTTTTGTTGGAATTAGAAACAAATTATAAATGTTACTGCATGGGAGTTAAGGCTATTCGTAAATATAATATAAAATGGACATTAAACATTAACATTAAGTATTTTGTCATGACGTTGCCTAAATCATCCACATTACCGTGTTCTTACAAGGAGAGAATTAGGAACAAAAAGTGAAATTGAGCAATACTGTACGTGTACGTTTTGTTATCTTTCGTGTTTTAAGACTGTAAATTAAAACAAAAAACGCGTGGTTATTTTTAACCTACTCATGGTATACGAATAATTTATTGCACTAAGCCACGAAATTCAGCAGATTTTTACGGCCACATGGATAATAATGCAAATGCACAAATGTAACTAAAATTATAAGTGTATTGTCTAGTTACTTGGAATATTATGCATATGGGTTTAAAGTTTAAAAAAACATAGGGTAACTAAAAACAGCATGAGGTGTCCCCAACCTTGAAAATTAGGCCTGTGCCCCCAAAATACAAATCTTGGAATGACAATTCTTTCAGCATATAGTTAGTCTCTCAGAACCACTCCATCTCACATTTCCTCACCAACCCATTAACAGTCAGTCACTACATCGCACAAGTCAGCACCTTCTTCTTCTCGGTCATCTCCTTGTACTTGGTAGACAAGATCTTGGTGAGGTCCAGGTTGGTGAGATCAGGATGCATCTTGGCATACTTGGCACGCTTGGCCATGAAGAACCTGAAGTATGGGGTGAGCGGCTTCTTTGGGAAGTCTGGGTGGCTCTGCAGAACACACGCACGGTGACATTTATAATATGGGTCCCAAAAGCATTCAAAAGGTGACCTAAGTCCAAGTTCACTATATATTGAAACACAAAAAAAATCGGTACATATTACCTCTTATGACATACAGATCATCAATGAGGATTGACAAAGAAATGGAAAAATACAAATTTCAGAGGAACACATCAATCAGAGAATATATAAAAGTTAGACAAATCATATTGCCGATTAAGAATAGTGGACTTGAGCAGGTCACGTCACTAAAAGGAATGATGGCCAGAAGTCAAGAATAAACATGGTAGTCAAGGGACAGAATGCGTCTGAGGAATATTCACTGCGGAGATGGAGGAAGGCAATCAGCCGTGTATAGGAGGAAGGTGCATTGCATCCTAGCATACCTTGATTTTCTTTCCTTTGTAGGGGTTCTTCACATGCTCTTTCGCATCCACAAGGAGCTCCGTGAGAGTCCGGAATTTACGAATCTGCAAGAAATGCATGCTCATCAAATCCTCAGTGTGTTACGCTGCCCAACATAACCCTTAGGAAACAATCAGCCACAGTATATCGACAATACATAAACTGTATTCAAATGAATACTGCATTGCACCTATATACACATGTGCCTAAAAATTTTAAGTGTTAAGATTTGTTAATGCATATATTAGTGTGTGCGTTAATGCTGATTAACTGTGCTTAGCTGCGCAGACCTTCGTTAGTGGCACCAGCGGCAAGGAACGGGAGGTTGCACTACATTAGAGCTGCTAGTGGTGGCAAGATCAGGATTTACAGAGTTGAAGCTCGCAGAATTATGTCCGCTGGTTGGATCATTAGCTTCCCCTGTAGGGGGCCTGGGTACTGAAGAGGGGTGGAATGTAAAAACTGATCCTTTCGGTACAATAAGATCACACATGGTTCTACATTCGCTCACTTTGGTTGAAGTACATGTGGAAAGAAAAGCATGTAAATGTTCCTGAAATGTAAGGCAATGTTCTCTCCAAATTACATTTGCAGCAATATAGTGGTACCAATGTGTACATTAAATTATCAAAATACTGTGACCGCAGATTCATTTCCTAGAGGAGTGTGTTAACAGGAAACTAAAATGAAAGATACTTCAGGAATACTTTATACACCCTTCCACTTTTGACAGTCTGCAAGTGCATGGGGCCTGACCTGGGCAATTGCCAGCATACATGACACTGAATCACAAACTACAGCAGCCGTTTTGGCTACCTCAAAGCAATCCATCAAAAAGTGAATGAGCTGTGGCACTGCTTGAGCCCAAGACTCTAAATTCTGAAGCAACAACCACAAATAGCAGCCTCTTATTACCCTCTGTCCCTGTTCCAAGGTACTAACCCACAGCGATATTTTTGTAAAATGTATACACACATACCTAACAAGGAGGCTTTAAAGAGCTCTATCCACTGTGGCTTTAGAACAGGGAGTTCGTCTAATGGCAAGTTATATTTTAAGGTTTTTTTTCCATACAAATAAACAATTTTAACAATACTGAAAACTGACAAAAATGTACAGGGATAATCACAGACCTCGCTGGAGAGTTTGAGCCATTTCTCCTTGCACATGTCCCCAGTGAAGTCGGAAAATTTAACCTTCTCCCAATCGAGGTGTTGCTCCGTTGTCTTGAACTTCATACTGTCATTCTCTGGGATGACAGACTTCATGCGCTCCAGTAGCATGAACAAGTCTTGCTTGGACCAGACATCCTCTGGGGGATCGGACACCAGACACCGGGAACAGGTGCAGCATTCAGACAATGGGGAAATCAGTGAAACTAAAGCAAAAACCCAAAACCTCCTCGGAAGACAGTGACGATTGTGCAAACTGAAAAAAGAAATCTAAATATTATTCAAACAAAAACTTGTACTGTCCAATAAACCCCATTATACCAATCTGGATATGTTCATGTTGATAACCATGAACTATTCCATTCTATTCTTGCATATGACAATGTTCAGGTGATAGATGCTAATGTCGAGGTCTGTAAGCCATGACGGGGAGGGCTTCAGGAGAGAGTTTGTGTAGTTCTGCTAATTCTCCTCAGTTGAATGAGTGCAGACTACAGTGATTTACTTTATGGTCCATAGTTTGGGATGCATGGCCACAACTGTTACATTTATCATATCACACACTGTTACAATTATATATATAAAGTGTTCAGCCAATGATAAGCACAATGCCAGGAAAATTACCGCAACTGCTATTATTGATATTATCACCATTACTTGTCATACAATTCATCCTACTTGTAATGTACACCCAAAGGTTACATAAATACATCATATTGCAGTTATGAACATAGTGCCTGCGTCCTGGACCTGGATCTGAATAGGATGAATATCATTGTGCCGCACTACAAAAATAAGGACAAAATGTTACTTAAATTACTGTGCCATTACGTAATGCACAAAACATTCACCACTGTGCAACAAAATACTTGGAAGAATATTTCCAAAGCACATAATGCTCACAGGTAAGTGTAAATTACTTCCAAAGGTCCAATTAACATTACTGGAATGGTTTGTGACCTGACCTGTTTTTGATGCATTTCTAAAGTTTATATATTTGAACAGTGGTTGCATTCAAGGCCTACGTAGTGGACCATATGTTCCTGTTCAGAAACGACCATTTGGATGTGGTCCAGTCTGCATTCGTACAGGTTAAGGTTGGTGATTTTCTCATTTATATGCTGCATACACACTTGAGTGTGTGTACACATGTACACACAATAACAACCTCTGCACTGGACTAATTGGGGGAGAGCCTTTCTCTGACAAGGGATGTCCATCATACTGCAAATAATGACATAATTGTCCCATTTACATGTGCTGTAGTTTACACCTGACACTTTATCTAATTACAATCTTGATTTGAAGCGTTCGTGACTGCAGGAATCCACACACTTTGGTTCTTTCGGTAAACTCACGTAGGTACAAAATAAAATAAAATCTAATTACACTTCAAGCATTTCATTTTAATGTCATCGCCATTACGGAGAGCATTCAGTGGGCAAATGTATGTTTCTTCAGTGCGGAGCACACATTTCTTTCCTGTTACTTGGACATGGTATGGTCTTGTTGCAGTCAGAAAAGCACATTTAGTGACTCATGTTTTACTAAAAGTTTTTCCGGTATTTTATTTACACAATAATGTAATGCATAATATTTAACTAAATTTCACATTTACAAAAATTTACTTGAGACAATTAAAGTGCAAAAATTTGCATTGGGTTTCCACAGGCACAGGACGTAGTAGACCAAGGCACCAAAGGGTAGCCTCATGCCCTCAGGGGCCCCACCTGGAATGCCTGCAGATCACAGTATCCTTGCACGTACAGATTCCTTAGCATGAGAATAGTGTTTGACAGGATTTTTTTTTCAAACAATTCAGGCAGCCTTTTCGGCATACCCCGATTTCCTGCTTGAGTAGAGCCTAACCATAAGTAGTAGTATTAATATTTGTACTTTTGTTAAATGTTTTATTCTATTCAGTGCCTGTGCCAACAAACGCGAACATGCATTTTCAATTACTATGAACACTGTTCACAAGCTTAGTTTACACTGCTTTAGATAAAATAATGAGGGAAAAGCCACTTTAGGTATTTATAGAATTGGCCACAAGCCTTTTCTGAACAACATAATGAATAGCAATTAATGGCCTCCAATGTGGCTTAAAGGATTGTAATTTTGATGATAAATAAAACATATCCATAGCCACATAGTGGAAATTGCCAAATAACATGTAATATGGGGGGGAAAAAATTTGACCCACAACCATAGATATTGCGACTTGAAAATGAAGTAAAAAAATGTATGACAAAGAAAATCAATTTATACCGTGTAATAAATATATATTACAATTGATGCAAATAACCAACCAGCACCCTCCTTAAAATGTCTGGAGACCCTATGAGGCTTTCATTGATAAATAACTATTTAAAGGACTTTCACATGTTGCTTTAAAAGCCACACTGTTAAATCCCAAAACACAACACACCAAACAGAGCATACACTCAATCGTCATGTGCTGCATGTATTGGGGCATTCGCTGTTATGACAATCCCGCTTGAAGAGGGTTAAACCCCTTCCTACCAGCGTCCTTGTCAGCGGTGGCAGGGGCCTCGCCGGCTGCCTCGTTTCTCGTCTCGCCATTCATCCTGCCCAGTGGGATTGAGCCTCTCGTGGCCCCGTGTGCGTCACTCCACTCGAGGTCTGTTCAACACAAAACAATGCTACTGCTGCTGGGGGTTGTCACAATCCATCTTCAGCCACAAAGCCGCAACAAAAAACAAGGCAAATACCGAAACTGTTGTACACTTTTTACCACCATTGTCGCCATCACCACCACCACCACCAAAAAGAGGCTGTGGTCCAAGTTATTACCAAGGCTGAATCCCAAGGTGTAATAAAAAAAACCAAATAATGAGCAGTTAAGATTTTCATCGGTACCAAGATTTCAGACCAAACATCACAAAAGGCTAGATGCAATGTGTAATGATATACACCATTATTGTTTACCAATGTTTACGACCAAACATACTCTGACATCACAAACCATTGGAAACCGGTAATCCATTTTAAACGTCGTAATAAATCCATCAGAAATTCAGACAGGATGACGCAGTCTTGCTGATATCTTCAGGGGATAGCCCTTAACCACAGGGTGACGTCTACTGCCAACTCAGCAGCGCATGCACGAGGGATGCTCAAAATCCTCATTCATACATATTAACCTCTAAACAATAGCAAGCAGTGCAATGGACTATAACTCCTTCAATGGTAAATAATTATCTGGTGGCTTACTGTGACTCGAACAAATGCTGCACTTGCAGCAGCTGTCACGCACAAAAGTGTGCTATCAATAACGCCTGTGTTACAGATTCTTTGTATTACTGTCGAGTTCCCATCTGCGAGGGCATTTATCTAGGCTGTAATTAGCTAATGCTCAAATTTTTTGCAAGTTGCATAAACGTCAACGTTGGATTAGACCAAGACTCTTGTCACTTTCCTCTAATCATCAATTGGAATGGGTTGTCAGTGAGGCTGTGCTGCAATTATCATTGAGGAAGTAAATCGAACTGTAACAATATCAACAGCACAGGAATGAAGCAGGAAGCAAATATTCAACTATCATAATCGACTTGGATGTCATGTTATATTCTGCTAAACAGAACATTAAGAGAACAAAGGGACAAGTTATTTTCTTAAAATAAAGGGGCTAATTTTGTTGCCCAAAAACAGAGAAATTACAGGACGTGAGTTGGCCGAGTTTCATGCACCATGTTAAGAGGCATTTTAACCACCAGTGCAAGAAATAGCCACAACTAAACCTTGTCTAAAAAGTAATTTTAAGGATAAAACTCGCCACTAAACAAATATAGCATCACACTTTCATTAAATGCTTAATGTATAGTAAAATTTCTACTTATTTATTTGACGAGGAAATCGCTTTTTTTGTTATTTTGTGCCCACGAGGCCTCTCATTGTTCTAGCCTGCTCGCGCGAGGCCACCTGCTCTATGCGGGCTGCAAGTGTCTCATTGTACACGCAGTGTTGAATTCCAACAACCATTTCAGCTTTCCTACAAGCGCACGACCAGACTAAGCTGCCAATTTTTTTAACCAAATGACCCACTGATATAATAAAGGTTTTTGGGGTTAGATCGCGTAAATGTCTCGTTAAACCCGCCACAACCCGATACAGCCAATTAGTACGGTTTGTCACGTAAACAAACATGCCAATTAGTTACTAGTTCAGCACGCACCGGTGTGTCGGAAAGTACACCCACAAGCTTTACAATTTATTATGAATAATACTGATCGCAAAAGCCTAACACTCGAGTATACTTCAACAGCGCGTAACGTATCTAACAACACAAACGTGCGCGTTTGCAGCACACGTTCACTGGACTCGTGTCAACACGAAGGTTCACGCGCCCCCTTTAGAGGCGGCGGGGGCGGCTAGAGTGGAAGCAAACCGAGCTGCGGGCAACGCAGGCTCCCTGTGGACGCCCGCAGCTCGTAGCCTCCTCTACCCCCCCCCCCTTCCCTCTTCTGCTCACGCTCTGCCCCAAGGCTGCCGCCCGCCGCATGTGGTGGGCGTGGATCGGTCGTGGTGGCTGTGGGGGTAGGCGGGGAGTGAATTTGCAACGGGTGAAGCGTTTCATTCGGCTGCGGACCTAAAGCCAACAAGCAGTGCGCAATTGTGAATGCCGCATACCAAGCCCGGGCCGGCTCTGCTTGCCAATTAGCAGATGTTCGTGAACTCGCAAGAGTGGCAACATATTTTTCAAGCCGCAAATCCCAAGGAAATTCCCCAAAATCTTCAAAGTGTGGCTACTCCGCGAAGGACTTGTTTTGCCTGCACTATTTTAGCGGCAGCAGATCATCAATCGCAGTGACAACTCTTTATTTTGCCAATTGTTAAGATTCAAAAACTGTCAAGGAATAATTTACCAAGATTTGCTGGCTGTACAGTAATGTGGCACTATTAAGGTCTAGCTGTCTAATGCATATTCCTCGGAAATGGTTTCATCCGATCCACTTTAACAGCTCTATATCCACTTAAGTTTACTCTGGGCTGAACAGAAACAGGCCCATGGTGGTGAGTTAGTGACCATGATATGATGAATGCCCAAAGGATGCCCTGGCACATCTGCAAAAGACGCCCGTTATGATGCACGCAGTAATTTCCAACACACTTTGCTGTTTTACATAACTGCATACCAAAGTGCATATGGCATGGGTTGGGATTTTCAAGCTCCATCCCTTGCACTTCAAAGGTAACAATAGGGCCATAGGGGGGATTAAGGGGGTCTTCTCTTCCCGGTTTGTAATTAACGTACCGTCTCCAAATTGCCCCCTACACTCACAATGCCAATTACAATGTCGTTTCGTTTGAGTCTCGTTTATTACTCTGGACGTGTGCAGGACCCCCTCATGTATCCGTCTGGTACATAATTTAAAGCACGTGTCTTCGTATGCAATGTTATTAAGTACTGTACTGGAATCGCTTTTAGTGACCGGTAGTGGGGTGGTTAGCACACTGCACTCTGAACAAGGCGAACCGAGTTCCAATCCGGGCCAGTGACGAGTGGATGTGACTCAATCTTGGGCACCCCCTTCACCAACCCACACTGACCAGCGTGAAGTATGGTCAAACAACACGTGCTTGGGGAGGGGGGCTTCATCTAGCAGTGTACCGACAAAAAGCTTATGATAACCGCTTATCGCATTTGCAACCAAACATTGACCCGATGTATGCACATTGCTACGTTTATCTACAAGGTATTAATTATCCTGATTTAATCGTAGTGGGTTAAACGGTGAGACGTGAACTTTCCCAATGTCCCAGCTGTCCGCTCCGACACGCGGCGTTTAAGCTCGGTGCTTACAAGTGGCCGGTTAACACGGAGGCAGCAGAAACGTAACCTTAATAAAACCCACGGCCAAAGTAGCCAAGTTTTAAACCTCGCCTCTGCAGGGACCCCATCATTTGAAAATATTACATCAAAACGTCGAGATACAACACTAAACTATTGAGTTACTTTAATCTGGAGTTTGAAACCATTCTGAACACAACGCGTAAACACGTGCGCACGCAGACCATTATAACGCAGGGTAATCGATTAAGCGAACGCTTACAAATATATATTTAAAAAAGTAGCGACCGATTAAAAGTGAGCGAAAGACTTTTGGACACAACAAATCAATGGCCGTGTGAGCAAATTTTGAAGGAAATGAAACGGGGCCGGACAAAAAATGCAAGAAAAACAAGACAAAGACAGCGGCCAGAGGGGAGCGGGACCCAGGAGGCCGCGGGAGACCTCGCCACGCCGGCCAAATGGCTGCTTGCGCGCATTCGCGATTAAACCATAGCCTCGTGTATATACACACACACAGACCAGTGTTTATTACACACATATAGTATGCATTCACATAGGTAAACACAAGACGCAAAAACGTGCGATGTAGCGTGGCACAGGAGGCGCCCGCTACTGCCGCGGCGCTCGGCTAAGCGGAGATGACCCCTCCCCGTGTAAATGTTTCCAACACTCGCGAATAAAGCCAGCCTTGTTTAAACACTAACACCAGCCTATATCCTACGCACACATGTGTTACGTGTGTGTGCGATAATATATATGCACCCAGTGTTACTATGTACACGCACGTTATGCATTTCGACGAAAGCAAAAAAAAGAATCTGCGAGATGGAGGCGGTCGAGTGGGACGCGAGCCCGGGGAGAAGACTCCATCGGACAACAAGCCTCTCTCCACGCACTCGCATCGACACCGAGCCTCGCTCAAAGCCACGACGATGGACAATGCACAATTAACACACGTACGGTATAGACTATTGATGCTATATTATTATAGACACGGGCAAAGATGGACGGATAAACAAGAGCCGAAGCGAGACGGGGGGGGGGAGAGGAAGCGGCCGCCGTCGCCCAAAGGAGACCGCGGCTCGCTCCGCCGGGGCCAAAGCTCTCGGCTGCGCACTCGCGACAAAAGCCTTCGCTCCAACAACAACAACACCCACCATCACCACGACGTACAACACACACACAGAGACACGCGTACGACCGTGGCAGTCGCGGTATAAACGTGCGAGAGAGCGAGGCGGAGGCGGTGTTGGCGGCCGCCCCGAAGCCCGGGGCCGCGTCCCCTCCGCCGCCGCCGCCTCCATTTCCCGCACCGCTCTGCTGCGTGTACCGCCGAGACAACAAACGCGCTCAACGATCACGACGTGTCCCGCTGATGTTTCAGTCACTGTATTTGTCGTATATTTCCTATGCATTCGGTGTATATAATCGGTGCCGGGATGTTGTGAGAAGGGAAGGGATAGAGACGAGCGAGAGATGTGGGGGAGCTCGCCGCCGCGGCCCCGAAGGTCGCTGGAGGCGGAATGGCGGACAGGAAACACCGAGGCTCCCGCGCTGCACCAGGCCGCGCCTCGCTCCAATTAAAATTAAATTACGGCGATAATATTAACGACAAACTCACGGGCATTTCTTCTCAAAGCCGCACCGTCGACGACCATTCTACTCTGATGTGCGAATCGCATTTAACGACGCGGAACTGTAAAACAATTGGCGCGGCTGCGTTGTAAAAAAATACACGCGCAACAACGTTAAAGCGACGTTCGCCTCCACTCTCTCCTCCGCCTTCTCATTTCCAATTTACCGAGATCCGATGCGTACGAAGCGATGGCTGCACGGGCGGACGCGCAGGCGGGCGAGCGGGCAGGGTGTGCGCGCGAGCGGGCGGACGGGCGAGCGGGCGGGCGGGAGAGCGGACGGGAGGGGAGCGCGGGCGGGCGTTTCTATCGGGCGGGCTCACCGGGATGGCTGAGGCTGGGGCCGCCTGCCTGGCTGGGCTGGCCCGTCCCGTGTCACCCCGCGCGCGCATGTGCGCCCCCGCTCGCCGCCGAGATCACCGCGCCGCGCTGCCGCCTCCAGCGCCAGGGACCCGGGAGCCAACGCGCGGGGTGGGCGGGAGGGGGGTAGTGGAAACGATATCGATGCACAATTTTTCTATGAGCGTATATGGTGGATGGTTTCATCGTTTATTTCATAGGCATTTGGGACGTGTTGAAACAAAACACCTTGCACCTTATGTTCGTGGCATTGTGATATTTTTTGCTGTCGTGAACATTGCAAAACACGTACACGTCGCCCCACTGAGCTACGCGAGGCTCCACGTGCGTTCGTGGCTGCACCCTTTTATATGCGAGCGTACGGCGGAGAGCGCGTGACGACGCACCGCCGCGGACCAATCGCAGCGCGACGTTTGAACACGACGGCGGCGCGCGCCGTGAACCGTTGAGGTCCTGGTTACAAAAAAAGTGTTCACTTTCCCGCCAAAACCGAGTTTTTACCCTCAGGGGTGATTAAATTAAGTCGAATGAAATGGTGAAGATTTTCAGCGACATTGTTGCTCATAACCAAGATTTATTTTCTCATGGAATATTTTCCTGAGCTCAGCATTTGAAAAGCTCCAGTTAAAAGAATACATTACATTCGTCAGCAACACTATCCTAAAAGGAAAATGGCGACGTTTCGGGCAATGGTCCTTCATACCAGAACACAATAATCAGAAAAAAAGCTTTAAAGTCAATCTAAGTGCTCTAGTGACGTCATTGCAACGTGACACTAAATGTAAATACTGTAATGGAATTAAAGTGACGTCACAGGGGCACTTATGGCACACCTGACCGTGACATTAAATGTGTTTGTTTCATTCAATAAAGCCTTAAACCTGAGCTAAGCAGTACAGGGCACAACCCAGGAATCTATTTGCAAAAATATATATGAACACAAATTTGTTTGAATGTTTAACTTTTCATAGCCCCGATAGTGTAACGACTGCCACGGTGATTGTGTCCCTCCAAGCAGTTCATTAACCCCCACTTGAGAATCCCGCCGTAGCAGGGATGTGTTTACCACATCAGGGGTTGCACACGGACATGCAGAAACAAGTTCCTTTCATGTGAGAAACATGGCTTATTTTACTGGGGCAACAGGTCAACTGGGTGAAAGTCAAAATAGCGATTTTCTGCTCAATTCAGAAATGAGACCATGTTCATCTGTTTATAGCCTTCAGTTCGTGGTGGGAATTCTTCATTCCTATGGCAAGGTGGGTCTCTCCAAAGAGACAACCGCTGTTGACTTCCCCACATGGAGGGGCACTCATTTGATTGACCCCAGAGGGATGATGGGCTGAGTCAACCCCCAACCAGGATTTGAACTCGCAACCTTGCAGTTGCGAGCCACTTTCTCTGACACTGATCCACCTGGCTGAATGCACTCTCCTTGCAGCTACTCTCCTGGTGATTCATATAATTCTCCATTAAGTTTCATTTTCCTACGACTCAAACCGGATTTCGTGTTATTACATGTCACCATTTAGCCTTTATTCCAAAATAATCTTAAATTCTACAGATGTCATTTCATATCTGTAACATTCAACACGCTGTGGATTTGGCCTTCGGTTTTCAATGCCAGCTATGACTTAAAAGCTTAGCGTTAGTTGTCAAATTCTACACCGTGAAATCAATTTAAACTTTGGAGAGTGCCGGTCTCCTTCCCGGTGTGCAGGACACTGTATGCATGTTGAACTTTTTTCGCGCCGTACATAGCCAACCATGCTAATCGGAGGCAAAACATGTAAGTGTGGCAGACTTCAGTTAATTCACGATAATGATAGCCAATATTGTAATGGCCTGCGAAACAATATTATCTGCTTGACCAATATGCCAGCTGCAAAATCTCCCAGCTGTAAGATCGACCACTGCATCTGTTGCTGACCTATTTAAATCTCGGCCCCTTTTTCATTTTCGTCTCTTCAATTGCCTCTCCATTATTCAATAGAAACTGTTATCACATAAATATGCAGCAGGACCTACTTTCCATGTACATTACACTATACAGAAGTGTAATGCAGATTTTTGTAAATATAAACACAAAATGCAGACAGTGCAAAACATTTTACCATCATGCAGACACTTTACCCCACCACCACCTCCCATGATTTTGAGTGTACTTTATACATTCTCTGTGCTGTGTAAAAATATCTATAGTATTTTATATGCAAATGCATTTTCTAAACTGTACACATTTTGGTATAGGAGACTGTTGTGTGTACGGTACAGTATTTTTTTATCCTTCACAAAGTCAAATACTATATAAAGAGAGCCACCAATTGTAACACCACTCATGCTCTTGTCTCGCCAGTACGTTCATTTTTCCACTTCTGGATGAATCCAGGTTAACACTTGCTTCCACGTACGTTGAGAAGATACATTTGGTTGTTGGTTGATTAGTTCCACTAAAATGGGGGGGGGGGGGAACGAACCACTAAGTAATACCCTCATCATATCTTCCACGAAGTGAGTGAACTGTGCTATATTGCATTCCATATATTTACTCAGATAAGACATTGCATTTATCCGTATTAATTCCCACAGCATCCATGAGCAGTATGGTTGATTGGGTTAATTGTCCAAAAATAATCACTGCAAGGCCATTCGGCTGCACACCATCACATCGCACTCCATGCCTTGAGTATTTACTTATGTTTACACTACATGATAATATCCTGTCAAAGATTAAAGAGCTAATGTACCTTGGGGATTTTCCTTTTACGTCTCTGCTTCCATGTGGAATACAAGAGATCTATTCCACATTTAGCAGACCTCCGTGGCGTGCTAAGTATTTAATTTACATGTATTCATAAATGCTTTCTGCTGCTGGTATAATCTGGAGGGAGGAGGTGGCAAGACGCCTTGTAGAGCTGCAAATTGCGTCCGAGTAAATGTCACGTGAGAACCGTCCTTGGGGCCTCACGAAGGCTGTGCAAAATCTGGGGCAAATGCAAAAGTCGTGCAGAACTGACCAGGGGGGGGGGGGGGGGGGGGTCCATTACAGAATGCTAATGGAAAAAGGAGACTGTGAATTAAGCAATATTGGAAGTGTAAAGATAATATTGTAAAATCAAAGTGTCGCCATGCTTAGATTTTTGCTTATGGTGCTCAAATCTATTGGCAATCCGGAGGCAGTTTTAGAAATTCCACATTGTCTGGGAATTGCCGAGTAGAAATAACCACTGTTGGTTTGTCACCAAGCGGTGCAGCTTGAGTGGGGTCGGTTTGACTTCAGGGATAAATTGGACACGCGGTTTCATGCGTAGACATGTAACTAGTCACCTCGCAGTCATTGTATGAACTTAAATGGTCACAATACATTATTTCTTTGTCTTGTTTTCACCATCTAATTTTTTAAAATAATTTGTACTGTCATATTGAACAGTTTTCCTCTCTCCATTAGCCAGAGTTCACTTTTACCATATAATTTGCATATATGTTGTGTACATGGTGGACAGTGGTCACACGCAATTAAATGCAACATCCCACACCACTCGCCACTCACCCCAGCCCCTCACTCTCATCTCTCATAGCTTCACATGCCCCAGTAAAGAATTGTGAGCATGGCAATGCGTTACACAGCTACACAGTTACAAATGTTTAATTACACAGTGGCACAGGTACGTTCGGCAGGTAATGGCCACACAAATGCTTCACAGTGCATTGCTGAGTGTTATTAATGTTCATAAACATGGACAAAGTAACCACAGTTGGCGATAATCCACAACTCAACTCGCAAGGTATAATTTAATTGATTAAATATTGTAAAATTTTCCACTTTAAATAATGAGTTTAACCATACAGTTTGGTAATAGATTAAAATTATACTTGACATGGGGCATGACATTAGAAATTGCATTTTTCAAGGAATATTTTGTTGATAGAATTGTGGAGTAATTAAAATAAAATGCTACGTGTGGTTTCATGACAGTATATTGTCGGCAACATAAATTGGGATTTAAAAGCTGAACGTCAGTCTTGCCTGACGAACTCCGTACAATGGTACGGCATCTTCCAAACATGGGGGCACCTCACTCAGTCTTCTCCTTCACAGCGTCCAGACGGTCCTTCTCCATGACTAGCTGTACTCCACAGTATGTGATGAACCACACCATGATGGTGGTGAAGGGAAAACCTACAAAACAGCATCAACAGGCCTTTGTCATTGATGAATGGATGGATGGAGATTCGTCACATGAGACCTCTGACGCTGCTTATAAGGCCGCGGAAAGGTTTATGGAAGCCTGGGGCAGAATGCAAGATGAGGCCCCCTCAGATCTGAGGCCCTTCCATATCGGAGGCCTAGGGCAACTATCTCACCTACCATGCCCTCTCTCCCGCCATAGACACCTACAGTAGAAGGTTTTGTGCATCATGCCTACATTCTTCATTTAATCTGAGTTTAGTTATATAACATAACCCTGCAAGGCTGTAAGTGCAATAGGATACCAATGCACAGAGTATGGCTCACAGAATAAATGTGGTTGTGGTGGT